GTTGAAATGAGAAATGACAGCTTTGCGTGACCTTCCAAAAGGCCATTCCTTGGCAGATAGGGTTTGATAGTAATAGAGGACATTCTAGATGTCGTGTCAATGCGGAGTTTTGCGAACGGGTGCGAAACGTGTGGTGTCGTGGTCGAGTGGGGCGTGCTTGACGAGTAACTGCGAATCGCTACAAGCAGCCATGTAATGCAAACAATTCTCTGCCGAACCAAGTTAGGGCCCGAGCACAACACACTGAGACCCTGGAGACAGGTTGAGCGGATCTGACGAGATTGCCTGCATGTTTTGCAACCACCCGGCGAGTGCCACGCGTCTCTACCGTGATCTGCATGACATGCAGGTCGAACAATAATGGCCAAAGGCTCGGAGGCGATGTTCACATACACTATTGCAGGCAGAGTGCTCCCAACGTGGTCAACCTTGTGGTAGAGTCGTAGTTGTGCCATGTGTACACTTCACCATGCACGGTACCGGAGTGCCAATCTACCAGTGCTTACACCCACACATAGTGCTTGAAACAACGCATCACATGCACCAAGGTGATTCGCCCAGGCCGATTTCACAAGATTGGCACCATGTGGACGAACCTGATAGTGTCACGCGTCTGTCGTGCATAACAACAGATAGAGCGGGGTACGTTACCACATGCGTCGCTAAGCCTAGGCTTCAGCAAACGCGCTCTGCTCATTTCTGGGTCTTGAGCTCTCGGCAGAGCACATCACATTCCCAATGCTCGAACGGCAGAGCCGATATCGCGTGGATAAATCCGATAGCAGAGCAATCCTGTACACCCACAAGTGCTGGCGTAGTAAGCATATATTTTGGTGGCAATGCTCACCTATTCAAAGAAACGTAAGATCCGAGTGCACCCGAGTTTGGGCGCAGCTTTTGGGCTGACCAGGCTGTGCACACATGCAAACAATGTCAGCTAGCCGAATTTGAGGACCAGAGAAGCTCGGAACACGTGGGTATGAATATTTGAATACGTGTACGAGGGAAAATTGATGTTAAGGTGGGCTCAGGGGGGCTATTGAAAGAAACGCAAGATCCGAGTGCACCCGAGTTTGGGTGCGATTCTTGGGCTGACTAGGCTGTGCACACCTGCAACCACCGTCAGCTGGCCGAATTTGAGGACCAGAGCAGCTCGGAATAGGAGGGTGTGTGCCTTTGAGTTGGGTAGGTTGCCTCATCAAGCGCTCCCAACATTAAAGGCATAAAGAACGCATAGGAATACAACTTAAGCCCCAAAACATGAACAAAATGTGCTATATAGGAACACAACTTAAGGCCCTAATAATGCCCTCAAAACACAACAACTAGAAATATCAATACACAGGTTCATGAAAGCCAGACCATGACAATCCACCTTATGGGTGCTCCACTGGACTAGCTATGAACTAGAGTTGTGGGGTCAACATTTGTGGGAAAGAGAGAGAGAGAGAGAGAGAGAGAGAGAGAGAGAGAGAGAGAGAGAGAGAGAGGAGAGAGAGAGAGAGAGAGAGAGAGAGAGAGAGAGAGAGAGAGAAAAAAAAAAAAACCTAAACGGCCACACTAGTCCCATAGAGCCAGGAAACCACCCAAAGCCAACATTGGCCTTCTGAAAAGTCAGTAATGGACCCTCAAAGCCCAAAGCAAGCATTACCCTTGTAGTCATAGGTGGACAAACAAGAGCCTTTAGTAACAAAAAGAGAATCAAACAAGTCATAACATGCTGCATGCATGCACAGGAAAACAAAAACCACCAGTAGTTCAACCTCAACAACTAATAAAAAGCATAAGAGCACTGACATCCTTTGTCTTCTTTTCTAAGTGTCTTACGCAGCAAACTACACAACATGCCATTGTACAACCCTACCACACCCCTCTGCCAAAGTGAGTGCGTGTGACCAGTTGGGGGTCATCGTACGCGGCAGCGACACCATAGGCGACACCTCATGCGAGTCTCATGCGAAAATATCGAAATATTTCGCGAATCTATGATTTCGCTGCTTTCGCTAATCATATATAAGTAAATATATGAAAAACTCATTGACGGTCTCTATACGGTAGTCTAGCTGAGTCTAAAATTGCCCCGCCGGCCAAATTTTTGCCCCAACAGCTGTCTAGCCAAGTCTAGGGTGCCTTCACATGGCAATTCCCCGCTGGGGTTCTCGTATATCTCTGAGCAAAGATCAACCAAAAGCCCCGGAAGGTGAGGGCGCGCTACATTTCGGACGAAGGCAAGCTCGAGACTTGAATGTTTTAGGTATAAATGTGGTTACCCGACATGTAACCACTCTATACCCGCACGGTCAAGACGCCTCTTGATGTAACTCCCGCCAAATCGATCGCATGTTCTGAAAACACGATCACCGCGTTCGACTCTTTGTGCCAAAACTACCAATCCCACCTCACAAATCGATAAAGTTGTGTTCGGCTGCCGACTTTGTTGCACAGTTTTGTGTTGTCCTCAAGTTCGTCATGTCGCAAGTTTTTCATATTGAATGTCTAAGGTGGAACTGCGGGATAGTTCTTGTACCCGTGTCGCCTTGAACGCCTGTATTTTACACCTCTTTTTCGATCATCGGTCAATTTCGGGAGAACGGGGTTTTGTTCGAAATTGCACAAAACCCTTCTCGGTCCAGAATGTAACGCGCCCGGAGTCAAGTGAAAGCACACTTCAGTTTCACTCTACTGTCAGGAAGCTTTTCTGCTTCAGGAGGTGTAGGAAGAACAGCAGCTGGGGTGTACAGGACAGAAAGGTACAGTACGTTCGCGGACGTCACGGAACGGTATGGCAAAATGTCTAGTTTCCGGAACGATTGAGAGCAGTTCACTTCGGTGCCGCGACGCCACGAAACCTTGTACGCCACTGCACTCCAGGCACCCTCTTAGCAGCTAGGACACTGTATGCTGTAGTAGACTAACGCTTCTGCTGTACATCCCGTGACAATGCTCTCAAGTTGTTTGCTCTCGAGCACAAGATGTGATCACCAGGCCGGATGAGTCAGGCATAGAAGTTTCTCTTTGCGTGACGCGAGCTTTAATTCAGGGTTTTCGTGGAATAGAGTCAATGTCGCATGCCAGCAGCAAGAGCACAATTCAGGATCTGGTGTTCCGAGGTAAAATGTAAAAAAAGCTTTTACTCGTCCTAAATATGATATGTTTCTGGCCGATTTCAGCGACGGGGTCTGTCAGCATCACGCCGCAGATAATTTTGTTTTCGCTTTAGTACCAGCGGAACAGCGTTATCGCCGTGCTAGACATTAAGATGGCCGGAAAAATGGAAAAAAAACCCCGTTCTGGGAGCATTTATTCCCGTTCGCTGACGGCTGACATGCGTTAACTTATTCCTACCGGATTCCAGCTAATTGTTGACGTTCAATGCCCCTGAAGTCGATTTCTTGTCTGTGCAGGGTATTTCTGAGAATTCTAAAAAACACTCTGAAAGGACGTAAATAGTTAGAAACCTTTTGCTATAGCAAACCTTTCGCGCTGGGTGGGGATATGCTATCATCCTCGCTACATTGACGACCATTGACAATTTTAATCGTCGAGGAATACCCCATCCCATTTTTCAGGCCATATCTTCACCGTGCTGCTCTCCCTATGGCTGCTCTCGGGAATGGCTTTCGTGGCGTGGCTGTGCTACTCGCGGCACTCCTCGTACCAAACCGACCGCCGTCAGCACCTCGACACGTGGTGCTACGAGCGCGCCAAGCTGTTCGAGCAGCACGCACTCACCACCGTCAGCCAGATCCGAGTGAGTGGGATGGAGAAATTATGGATAAGACGTAATCGCGCTCACCACCGTCAGCCAGATCGGAGTGAGTCTTGAATATGATTCCTCTCGGTCTCGTTTTGCTCTTAGAGCAGCACACGCTCACCACCGTCAGCCAGATCCGACTGAGTTGATGGAGAGATTATATATAGGAGTTATGCGCATCTGCCGTCAACTAGATCAGAGTAAGTCCAGCGTCAGTCTAGTCACCCAGAGAGTCTCTCACTCGCGCGCTCACCACCGTCAGCCAGATCCGGATGAGTAAATGGAATGAATGTGCGTACGACTATTGTCGAGCGCGCCCACCACCGTCAGAAAGAGCTGACGGTGGGTCAAGGGAAAGAATATGCGTATCAGCCAGATCAGGGTGAGTGCGTTTTGCGATAGGTTGGATTCTCCCAGCAAGGACGCTCCGTCAGCCAGAGTGCAGAATCCTTATGCTGCTGCAACTTGGGGCCGAATGGTTGGGTCCTCTCGACGCGGATGCTCGCACTCTCCACCGTCAGCCAGATTAGAGTGAGTCTAGATGCGGTGCTTCCTGTGGGGCTGTCCCTGGTTCTTGGCGTCAGGCCCACCACCGTCAGCATGTTACGAGTTAAGAACCCACGTCCTGTCATTCTCGCCATGCTGGGAGTCTGTGGGGTGTGCCCCTTAGATTCGAGCCAAGTACAGCTTTGTATGAGGTCCAGCATCAGGGTTCGTCTTCATGCATTCCTTCCAGCTTCGAGGCACAGCTTCAAGGATGAAGAGGGGTTCAATTCTGGGCTCGATCCTGGGTTCGCTCCTGACTTCGATCCTGGGTTCAGTCCTCGGTTCAATCCTGGTTCGGTTCTGCGTTCGATTCTGTGCAAGTATGAAGTCGAGCAGATTGTAACGCACGGCCAACTTGCGCGCGGCAAGGCAAAATCAACTTTGCGTTGCATAATTTGCGCCTCCACCCCTTTCCTCACCAGGGTGGAAAAATACGGTTTTCGTATTATACGGTCGTTTTTTTCGGTTCGTTTTATACGGTTGTATTTTGAAAAATACGGCCGTTTTTTTATTAGACGGATTTTCGACAAAAAAAAAAAATCTCAAAAATTGCGGACATGCGGTACAACTTGCCTAAGGTGGACGACACGACGCAAAGGTGGTCAACTACCATGACTAGAGGTACGTTTAATCTACCTCCTACTCCTCCTCCCCCTCCTCCTCGGCGTACCACTCCCCCGGCCCCTACTCCTCCTCGTGGCGCGACCTCCTCCTCACATTACTACTCCTTGTCCTCCTCCTCATCCGCCCCACTGTCACCATCGCTGCAATCCCAGGGGTTGCTCCCCTTGGCCCTCTTGCGAGGCTCCTTTGATCCACTGCCCTCGCCCTCCTCCTCGTCCTCGCCCTCCTCCTCGCCCTCCTCATCCTCCTCCTCTTCCTCATCCTCCTCTTCCTCCTCCTCCTCCTCCTCCTCATCGTAGGCCACTTTCTCCTTCCCCTTACGGGACCCCCTACCCTTCTTGGCCTGCTTCTTGCCCCGAGCCTTGGATGCCGCCTTCTTCTTCCGCCCGCCGATGTTGCCAAAGGCATCCCAGTCGATGGTACACACCTCCCCGCCCTCCTCCTCTACCTCCTTGTTGGCCTCGGCTTCCACACGGGGGGGTGGGATGATGTTGGCACCCTCCTTCAGAGTGCCATTGGTGAGGTCGTCGTACAGCTGAGCTCGAGCCTCGACCTTCTGGTCAAAGGCTGTTCGCGCCCGTCTGCCGAACGCGACGAACGTCACGTCCGTCATGGTGGAGGCGTTCAGCCTGTTGCGGTCGCGCGTTTGGACACGAGCCAGAGCCGACCAGTAGCGCTCAACCTCACAGGATGTGACTGGCTGTGACAAGATCATCACAGCCAGCTCCTGCAAGGCGGCCACCTCGCCGCCGTACATCCACCACCACTCGGCGTCGGAGAGCCGCCCGCTCTCCACCAGAGCCGTCGCTGCCCAACGGGCCTCCACGGATCCCAGGCGGCCCTCCCCTTTGTGGAAGGTGCCCAGCTGAGCCGCGAGCATGGTGCGCCGAGGTACATCCCCTCCCCTCGCCAAAAACACCTCCTCTGCCCCCTGCCTCACCTCAGGGTCGTTCCGCACCTCCCCCACGTACTGGTTGCGGGGATTCAGGAGCCACCCCGCAGCATGGAGCGGGTTGTGCAGTTGACCATCCCAGCGGTTGGCGATGATCTTCTTCACCGTGACGAGGAAACTCGCCTTGTCCTTCGCCTCGAGCAACGCCGTCCGCTTGACAAAGAAGGTGGCTGCACGGGGAGCAGACGTGCCGAGGGAGGGTGAGATTAGGTACAGCTAAGAACGCCCATGGGAATGACACATGAGTGCCGCTCGCACGCCGCGGGGGGAAATGGGCAAGCAAGAGGTTGGCTTACCTGCCGCCTCTGCCGCGTCGGTGGTCTTGACAGTGGCCTCCAGCATGAGGCCATAGATCTGGCCCATGAGGAGACATCGCTTGTCGACCCGCCTCAGGACCTCGTAGATGGGTGTCATGAGCTTGAGCACCATGGCGACGCTTTCCCAAAAAACGTCCTCGAGGAGGAGGCTGCGAATTGCTTTCCCCTCCTCCGTGCGGGAAATTGGCACCTCCTCCCATGCATCGCTGATCACCATCTCCCGCAGGGCGTTCTTTACTTCGAGGAAGCGCCCGATCATCAGCACTTGCGTCCCGAAACGTGTAGCTCCCGGGCGCATAAGCTCCAAGGAGCTGAAGACCTCGCGGAACAAAGTGACCGCGGAGGCTGACTTCTTCACCATCATCACCACCCTGTGCACCTGCCCGAGGATGCGCTGCACAGCGCGGATTGCTCCTATGTCATGCAGCATTAAGTCGAGGCAATGGGCGGCGCAGTTGGTGTAGAAGATTTGCGGGTACCCCTCCTTCAACAACGCCCCCGCCTTCTTGTTGTTGGAGGCGTTATCCATGACCACCTGGATGACGAGCCGGTCCCCCACGTTGCAGATCGAGCGTCGAATAAGCTCCGCGAGGTAGCTCCCCGTCTTTTTCGCGGTTTTGGAGTCGACGACGTCGACGACTACGGGTGCCGTATCGTTCTGAGCGATTACGCCCAAGAATCCGCGACTCTTAAGGCAGGACCAACCGTCGACGGTAAGAGAAACGCCACTGGTCCTCCACGTGTCCTTCAGCGGCTGCAGCAACTCCTCCGTGTCGGTCTTGAGTTTCGCGAGCAGCGGCCCGCTGACCTTGTACGCGGATGGAAGCTTGTACGGCTTCCCAAACTGGACTACCGCGTTGACGAAGGCCTGCAAGGCCGGGGACTGTGATGTCCGAAACGCGAGGTCGTTTTCAGCGACCACTGTCGCCCAAAGATAATCCAACCGCTGGCGGCCAGCCACATCAGCTAGCTCGCGAATGTCTTGCTGACGCGAGCGCGGGGCAGAGTGCACCGTCGAGGACGAAGCTCGTCCTTGCGTGCCGTCAGGGGACGTGGAACGTTCTTCTTGGTTGCTCTCACGCAGCTGCTTCGCGTAGTCCGACGGGCAAGTGGAGACTTTCTTCTCCATCGACCTAGGGGTGCCATAGATATGCTGCCCTATCCTGGTCGCGTTTGGAGTGACACTAGAGCCACAATGAATGCAAACTGTGCTAATAACAAGGCCGGTCGGCTCCTTCACCTTCTTAACATGCTCCCAAATGTCGGATAGCTTCCTAGGCATGGCGTACACAGTAACGCCAGTAGCTGAGAAAATCGTGCGGTGGATTCGATCGTGCGAGGTGAGCTGCGTACAAGACTGTGCTCACCTTTCTGGAAGTGCTCCAAGTTTGTACCTGGTGGCCAACCTGCATTCTTGAGCGACGTGGAAAGACCTTGTTGGTAGGGATCGCAAATGACCAAGTGTGATTGGTCACGATTCGAATTTGCGACACACGAATTTTTGGGGAGGTCGCTTGGCCCGCGAAAATTGAGTCTACAGGGCGAGAAGAAACCCAACGACACAGGCGAAACAGGTGTACAGCCCGTTCTCTCTTCGTCAAATGTTGGCATCAGGCGGCTCGACAAAATGTTGGAATCGCGCCTCGGCGAAAAACCATCACTTCAACCTGACAAACATTCAAGATCCAACCAACCCACATTGCAATTTCGTTACAAGCCCAAAGCATGCAAATATTGGTTGGTTCGAAAAATACGGTCGTATTTTTCAACCGTATTTTTGCACCAACAAAAAAACACAGCTTTTGACCGTTTTAAACCGTTTTATACGATTCCGTATAATACGGCAAAAAAAAAAAAAAAACGACCGTATTTTTGCAGGGAGTTCCTCACTATCCCTGCACATGCACCAACTACAGATGTTCGCAGGGCTGGCTCTGTGATGGGGAGCCCCAGGGCCCATAGAACTCATCCTCACACCTTCCTTCCTCATCATCCCTGCACACATACCTGTTACAGACCTTTGCCGGGCTGGCGTCCGTGATGGGCAAGCCTAGAGCCCATGGCAGCTGGACGTGGGCCCGGTGCTTCACGCAGCAGCAGTGGGACGACTACATCAACAAGACGGGGTACTCACGGCCGGGAAACACAGGTGGAGCGCTGTGCCTCTACGTCACCGACCAGGAGAGGTGAGGGCGTTGTGTTGTAACCACCCTACTCTGTCACTGCTTAAAACAGAGGGATAAGCAGAGTGAAGTCAAGCAGGCGCCACTCGCGGTGAGCTGGACTGGGTAAGCCGAATGGGAACGCGAGCTGACGATAGAGTGGTTGTGCTGTTCAGCTGACAGGCACGCAATTTGCATTGCAACCACCGTACCATGTGCGGTCGGTGAGCCGGACTGGGCCGCCGCCATACTGCGTGTGTGGTTGTGTCTGTGTACTATGTGCTAGTGTGGTGAGGCAGGCTCGCACTTGCTAGCCCTTCCGCCCCCTCCCTCCCTTTGGTAATCCGACACTGTTTCAGAAGGCTGGCTTGCTCTCGTCTTCGTCCATCTCATGATACATCATCTTCCCATGCCTCTCTCTCTCTCCACATCCCATGCCTCTCCAATCCACATGCCCACCTTAGGGCGTCAGTGCAGCAGACCTATCCTAGTCTTCACTTGACAAAAGAACAGGTTCCTTTGCCACGATCTCCCTTTTGCAGGCCTGCCTTTGAGCGTGAGTATGGTGGGTCCATTGTGGACATGGCAGGGAAGCCCCAGCAGCGCCAGGCGCTGTACTGCCCCAAGCTGATCGACATCCACTACTACCGGGGATCCATCCCCCTTATGGATCTCGTGCAGCGCCTGCCTGAGGAGATGGCCTTTATGAAGCGCACAGGGGACGTGGTGTTTGGCACGGTCGTGCCCATTTGAAACCTCTCCTACAACCTCACTGGCGTTCATAGGTTACATTCAACCTCACCGGTGCGCGTGAGTTGCTCGTTTAGCTTCCACTACCTTCTCGGCATTTCGTTGGTGTCCTTAACACAGCGTATGTCGCCCATCCGCTCCCTCCCTCCCTCCCTCCCTCCCTCCCTCCCTCCCTCCCTCCCTCCCTCCCTCCCTCCCTCCCTCCCTCCCTCCCTCCATCCCTCCATCCCTCCCTCCCTCCCTCCCTCCCTCCCTCCCTCCCTCCCTCCCTCCCTCCCTCCCTCCCTCCCTCCCTCCCTCCCTCCCTTCCTCCCTTCCTCCCTCCCTCCCTCCATCCCTCCCTGCCCCCCTGCCTCCCTGCCTCCCTCCCCCTCTCCTGCCTCGCCTACTCTCTCTCACGTGCGTGTGCGTGTGCATGGTTCGTCTCCCTCCCCACGCCAGCTATTGGCTTCCCCATCTTGCAGCATCCGTTGCCGCCGAGCCCCACTGAGCAGCAGGCTCGCGACGCCGTGATTGGTGGTGCTGGCGCCGTGGTGGACTTCGTGTCCATCATCAGGAACGTGCTCGACAAGGTGTTCACCCCAGGTGAGAACCAACTAACAGAGTCCCTCACCAGGCTCTGATTCTGTACGTCTTTTTTGTTAGGATTAAGGACGGAGTCTAGGTGAACTTAGGAGCTAGAATTACTCAAAATATAAATCCGAAATTCTGGACAGAAAAGTCGTCTTCACAAGAAACGACGTCGACAAACAACTAGCCGTTGGAATGTCGCGAAACTTGGATATGTTGTAGCTCTTAATCTCAGCTACCGTTCCCAATTTGAATCATGTTGATTGATAAAGTATTCGCGACGCTATGGCTTTCGACGCACTAGGGGGTAAGCTGTAGGAGGAGAACTTAACTCAATCTCAAAGGTTCAATCAAAGTTCAAGAATCTCACAAGGAATTTAGAGGAGCAAGAGAAAGGTTGGGATAGAAGAGAGGGATGAGAGGAAAGGTCCCAAGAGAGTCCCCAACCAAGGAAACCCCATAAGCACAAAGATTCCCTCCCTATAGGAACCTCAACTTTGACCTTTGTCCCTTCCCAACCAATCCATCCAAGTTGGCCACCCTTGCCAACCTAGCTTGGTTGTTCCCAACCTATTTGCAGCTGTTACAGTAGAGTGACAAGTTTACCCAACCCCAAAGGTCCCAACTCCATATAAAGTCACCCCACAACTTCACTTTGTAACCGCCGCAATTGTAACGCAAGCTCATGAACTTTGAATCTTCATAGCTTTCGCGTTCTTGCTCCGATTGAAGCGATTCTTGTTGCGTCGGAAAGATCTTCTCAAGATCTATCATCAAAATACCTGCTCAAACAAAAATAACACAGAACACATTCCCAAACTCCAGAACACACCACACACAAATTCTTTCACATTCAAACCACACATGCAAGTTGAAAACATGGGATGGGAGGCAGACAGAATGTGATAGCATATGATGACATCACACAACAATCTCCCCCTCTGGCTGCCAACCATCATCGACCATACCACATCTCAAGCATGCATACTCAATGCACACTCATCCCAGCAAGCTTCATGCCCTTCCAATGATCCGCCTCCGCCAGACGCTTAGTGAAAATATCTGCTGCCTGCTGATGGGTCTTCACTATCTCCAGCCGCACCTCCTTATCAAGGATTCTCCTCACCCAATGCCACTTAGGCCTTATGTGTTTTGTCAGCCCATGCAGACAAGCATTCTTGGCCAGCTTCACTGCAGACTCATTGTCACAGAACACAACTGTCGGCTCCTCCTGACCAACTCCCAACTCCTCCAACAAACGCCTCAGCCATACCACTTCCTTGGCCCCATGGTGTAAGGCCATGTACTCAGTCTCACATGAAGACAATCCCACCTCATTCTGCTTCTTGCTGCGCCAGCTCACAGCACCACCTCCCAGCAAGCACACATAACCCCCAATGCTGGTGCCATCCGCTTTCACTGAGTTGAAGCTAGCGTCAGTATAGCAACTCAAGAGCATCTCACCACTCTTCACATCTGCAGCACCTCTCTGCAACCGCTGCCTCACTCCACTGTACTCCAATCCCACTGATGCCGTAGCACTCACATAGCGGACCAACCTCTTGGCCGCTTCCAGCTGCTCATGACTAGGACGTGAAACCACGCTAGCCAGTCGTGATGTAGCAAATGCAATGTCAGGCCGTGTATGATTTGCAGCATAATTCAGCGACCCAACCATCGAATGAAACAGCTTCCTGTCACTATCACCCACTACCTCCTCATCAGCACATGGCTCCACAGTAAACCCTGAAGGTAGTGGTGTTGCTGGCTTTCCCCCATCTTGCAGCCCATACTTCTCAGCCAGCCCCTCACAGTACTTCCTCTGGTGCAACCTCAGCACACCCTTTTCCACATCTCTCTCCACATGCATCCCCAAGTAGTACTTCGCCTCACCCATCTTGGAGCACTTGAACTGCATCTCCAGCATCTGCTCTGCGCTGTCCAGCAAAGCAGTTGATGCAGAAAAGAGAAGGATATCATCCACATACACCAAGAGCATGAGGATTTCGTCCTTCTCCTGCAGCAGGAACAGGCTGGGGTCACACTCACTCTTCTTGAAACCCCCAGCCAGCAGCGCCTCCTCCAACTTGTGATACCATGCACGAGGCGCCTGCTTAAGGCCATAGATGGCCTTCTTCAGCCTGCAGACCCTGCCGCTCCCATCATCCAGCCCCTCTGGCTGCTTCATGTACACCTCCTCCAGAATGATCCCATTCAGAAAGGCAGTCACAATGTCCATCTGCCGAATCTTCCATCCCAGGAGTGCAGCTATCGCCAACAGCACCCTCAATGTTGTTCCTTTCCCCACAGGAGCAAACACCTCATCATAGTCCTTCCCCTTTGTCTGCTGAAACCCCCGTGCCACAAGCCTAGACTTGTAGCGGGTCAGCTCCCCTTCAGGTCCATACTTGTGCCTGTAGATCATCTTGGAAGTGATTGCCTTCTTCCCAGGAGGCAAGTCACACAGGTCCCATGTCTCGTTTTCAATCAGGGACCCGAACTCCTCATCCTCACTCGCCTTCCACTTCTCCCCATTTGGTCCATTCAAGGCCTCCTCTCGAGTCTTGGGCTCAGGGATTGGTGCCCAGTAGCAGTGAGCGATCTCATCTTCCTCAATCTGCTCAACCACACTCCCAGCCTGCACCACATTTGGCTTGCCTCTTCCCCCATAGGTCAGCCTCACCGGAGGGCGCACATCCCTCCTAGGTCGCTCAGGCGGGTGTGGAACTCGAGATGGAGACTCATGCTGCTGCTGCTGCTGCTGCTCTACTTCAGCTGCTCCCCCTTCCTCAGTCACCCCAGACATCTCCTCCTCTGACACTGCAACCTCCACCTGTCTTGAAGGCTGCTGCACCTCGTCTGCCTCCACAATGAGCGGTGTAGATGGAAGCTTCTGTTGCTGCTGCTTCCATTCCTTGTAGTACAGGGACTCCAGAAACTTCACATCCCTTGACACTGTCAGCTTCTGGGTGGTCAAGTCCCATAGCAGCCAACCCTTGTGATCCTTTGCAATCCCCAAGTGCACACCCCATCTTCCAGAAGCCTCCAACTTCCCCCTTTTCTCCTTAGGCACATCAAACACCACCATGCACCCAAATGCCCTCAGCATGTTCACAGCTGGAGCACTCCCATACCACTTGACATATGGGATCCACTCCTTATCTCCAACTGTAGCCAGCACCCTGTTCTTCACAAGGGCGACCTGCCTCAGTGCAGACACCCAAAATGGATCAGGCAGCCCTGCACGCCCAAGGAGAGTGCGTGCCCCCTCCTGCAGGGTCCTGTTGAACCTCTCAGCCACGCCATTCTGCTGCGGGTTGTAGGGCACTGTCAGTTGATGCTGGATCCCCTTCCTCTTCAACTCCCCCTCAAAATCAGCTCCAATGAACTCCCCACCATTGTCACTACGGATCACCTTCACCTTGTATCCGCATTCCCTCTGAGCTCTAGGCATCCACTCCTTAAGGACAGCCGCTGCCACCTCCCCCTTGCTCTTCAAAGGGTAAACCCACACTGCCCGAGTGTGGTCATCCACAATTGTCAAGAAATAGCGGCTGCCTGAGAGGGAAGGGGCTCTTGTGGGCCCCACCACATCCATGTGCACAAGTGCAAGTGGGGTCTTGGCTGGTCCTGTAGTGCTGTTGAAGGGGAACTTGGAGAACTTGGTCTCCAAGCATGTAGGGCAGCTCCCAATCTCCTTCACTCCCCCTTTCACCTCCAAGCCCTTCAGGCTCCCATCCTTCACCAACTTCTGCAGCATAGGGAAGTTCACATGACACAGCCTCTCATGCCATGTCTCCCAATCGGCCTCTCCACTCCTTGATGAAGCCTTAGCCCATGCCGCACTCGCATCCACACCAGCAAGCACCTCGCCATGTGTCTGCTGCTGCTGCACTTTCTTGACTGCTTCCAGGACCCCATCAGTTGGTGCAGTTGCATCTCCTCCTGCTGTTGCCTTTGCCGTTGCTGCCGTTGCTGCTGTTGGAGTCTTCCCATTCCATGGGATGATGGGCAGCTGCCACAGGTCCTTGATGCAGCTGGTCTCCTCTTCCAGACTCCACAGCACCTTCTTCCCAAGCTTAGCATGGCAGCTGGTTGGTCCAAAGGTCACTTCGGCCTTGCTCTTCTGCAGTCGTCGCACAGAGAGAAGGTTAGCAGACAAGCCTTCAACCAGCAGAACATTCCCAAGCCCCACAAGCTCCCCATTAGCTCCCTTAACCTTGGCATTTCCAACACCAATGACAGGGAGCAAAGCACCTGACGCTGCTGCCACATACTTGATCTTCCCAGGGGGTTTTACCTCATCAAGCAAATCTGCCCGTGGGGTCATGTGACTGGTGCAACCTGAATCAATCACCCAGTGCGTGAGAGGGTGCATCACAACCTTTCCCACAGATCCCACATCACCCTCATGCCCATGCACATCCTCAACCATAAGAAACATCCCAGGATAGGCATTACCTTGTGCACCTTCACCTTGTGCACCTGAGCCTTGCACAGCACCACCTTGTGCGCGTTCACCACTGGGCGGCTTCATGCCTGGAGGTGCCCATCCCTCCGGCCTGCTGAAGCACTTGAACCAAGGATGCCCGACCTTCTTGCAGTACCAGCAGGTGCCCTCCATTCTGGTACTCCCCCTGCCACTGGAGCTCCCATGCCCCTCATTATAGTCACCTCGGCCTCTACCTCTGCCAAAGCTTCTCCCACGGCCTCGGCCTCTCCAACCCCCTCTTCCTCTGCCGCGCCCTGCAGCTCCATACCCCTCAGCAGTCTTAGTGGCAGCACCGCCTCCCACATGGCGTCTGCGGAAGTCCTCCTGCAGAATCTGCTGCCTTAGCCACTCAGGTGTCCATTGATCTTGCTGAGAGTTGAGGGTGGGGATGAGGTTGTCCCAAGAGTTGTCCAACACCGAGATGATCTTGGTGCACTGCTGCAGCTGAGATACACTACTGCCCGCTGCTGCCATCCTTGCATAGGTGTCCTTGATCTTGTCAAGGACCGGCTTCACATCGTCCCCTGGTCGCATGGAGATGGCAGCAAGTTCCTTCTCGAGCACGATCACCATTGGGAGAGTGTTGGGCTGAATCACATCACGTAGTAGTTTCCACGCCCTTGGACCCGAATCATCCGCTTCCACAAGATCCTTGATGTGCTCGAACATCTCCTTGTTGACCGATTGAAGGATGAGGTCGAAAAGCACCGCGCTTTTCTCAATCCACCGTTCGCGTGCTTCGCCTTCTTCCGGCATCTTCTCTTCCCCAACAGCAATCTTCAGTAGCTTGTAGCGTTTGAAGGCACTCCTCATCCGTCCGCTCCATTCCTCATAGTTGGAGCCATCCAAAGCTTCAACTTTTGATGGCGGCGGCTCACTTGTCTTCTCAGCTACAGCTCCTCTTCCATTAGCATCTCCTCCTCTCTCATTCATCTTCTCCTTGAGAAATGACGAATTTCAGCTCCCCTTTGCTGTCCACACTCAGCTCCCTCGATATTTTCACAAGTATCGGCGTCCACGAAATTTCGGCAGAGTTTCCCCTTAGCGGAAGACACATCCAACCTTTAGAACACCACTTAGGCACACCCACAGGCCATGGTGGGTCTAGAAGGGTCTTCACACTTCTGTAGACTCCTCTCAATGTCCTTAATATGGCTCTGATACCACTTGTTAGGATTAAGGACGGAGTCTAGGTGAACTTAGGAGCTAGAATTACTCAAAATACAAATCCGAAATTCTGGACAGAAAAGTCGTCTTCACAAGAAACGACGTCGACAAACAACTAGCCGTTGGAATGTCGCGAAACTTGGATATGTTGTAGCTCTTAATCTCAGCTACCGTTCCCAATTTGAATCATGTTGATTGATAAAGTATTCGCGACGCTATGGCTTTCGACGCACTAGGGGGTAAGCTGTAGGAGGAGAACTTAACTCAATCTCAAAGGTTCAATCAAAGTTCAAGAATCTCACAAGGAATTTAGAGGAGCAAGAGAAAGGTTGGGATAGAAGAGAGGGATGAGAGGAAAGGTCCCAAGAGAGTCCCCAACCAAGGAAACCCCATAAGCACAAAGATTCCCTCCCTATAGGAACCTCAACTTTGACCTTTGTCCCTTCCCAACCAATCCATCCAAGTTGGCCACCCTTGCCAACCTAGCTTGGTTGTTCCCAACCTATTTGCAGCTGTTACAGTAGAGTGACAAGTTTACCCAACCCCAAAGGTCCCAACTCCATATAAAGTCACCCCACAACTTCACTTTGTAACCGCCGCAATTGTAACGCAAGCTCATGAACTTTGAATCTTCATAGCTTTCGCGTTCTTGCTCCGATTGAAGCGATTCTTGTTGCGTCGGAAAGATCTTCTCAAGATCTATCATCAAAATACCTGCTCAAACAAAAATAACACAGAACACATTCCCAAACTCCAGAACACACCACACACAAATTCTTTCACATTCAAACCACACATGCAAGTTGAAAACATGGGATGGGAGGCAGACAGAATGTGATAGCATATGATGACATCACACAACATTTTTGGGACCGCTGGCTTGCTCCATGACTTTTGAGTTGACTCAAGAGACACCCCGCGCGGGCTGGCTCTGTGGTGGATTGGATTTCTGCGGGAAGGCGTGTTATATAGAGGCGCCACTGTAAACCTCAATTTGAGGCTATCCAAAGCCTCAGTTGACATGTTTTCAGATCAAGGATTCCTCCAAATCCCTCCCCTAGCCTCCCTATTGCCCTTGTCTGTTCGTCCGCCTATGAACTGCCCCCTTGCCATCACCTCCAGACCCCTCCATCACATTTGAGGCGTATGACACCAAATGTGTATGCTCTATCATGTCTTGCCCTTCCCCTCCTGTCTCCCTCCCCACAGACCCCTCCATCACATTTGAGGCGTATGACACCACGGACGTCGATGGATTACACATGATCTACGGCCCGAGCCCAAGGCTCATCTACTACAGAGAGAGGGACATTGCACCCTTCACTGCTCCCTCACCCGCTAATGTCACGCGCCCGTGGGAGCAGCGGGCAGTTGTGCCGCTGGAACTGCTTGGCGGCTGCCTGCAAAAGTACGAGGTCTGGTGCCGGTGAGTGGGGTATAGGGAGTGAGTGAGCCGTACAATTCCCTATCTATTGTCTTTAACTCCTGTGGTATTATGAGTTTCATCCATAGCTTCCTTTGCAACCCCTCTTCTTCGCTTTCCCCACCCTCATAGCAGCCATAGCATGGCACCAATGTGTTGGTTATCTGGGAAGCCAGGATGGCATGGCTGCGGCAGACCGCCTCCGAGCCGAGGCGCGGACAGCAGAGCAGTCGAAGAGCTCGTTTGTGGCATCCATGTCGCATGAGCTGCGCACCCCTATGATCGGCATCGTTGGCATGTTGGACGCCCTGGCTGACATGGGGCTCTCCGCCTCCCAGGTGGAGGACGTGAGTGCGGCGCGCGCATCAGCGCACGACACCGTGCGCCTCGTCAACCACGTGCTCGACCTCTCCAAGCTCGAGGCCAGGAAGATGGCGCTCAGCTGCGTGCGCTTCAAGCCTCGTGCTTGGTTGGAGAGTGTTGTGGTGGAGAATTATTGGAGGGCGCACCAAAAGGGGATCGAGCGTGAGTGTCCGGGTGGGGGGATGAGCAGCAGGTCAGTGGAAGGGGTTATGGTTGGCGAGTGTGTGAGGGATTGGCGACTGGGAAAGTGCAACACGTTTGGCATGTTGTCGTGCCTGCGAGTTTGTGTTGGAGTGAAGACGAGTCTGCATGCAGCTTTTTGGCGGTCACTGTCTCACGACAGCTATTGACGCTACTAGCTGGGCTTCCTACCAGCAGCTTCTGGACCGACTTTTGATCGTGACCGCCAGAAAGCTGCATGTGGGCTTCCGCTTCGCAATGTTCGGTCCATGAAGGCTATTGAGGTTCATTGTGGGGCCCACATTGACGTATTCGTACGTTTGTCGCACTTATCATAGCTAACTACTGTGGACTTCCCTTATTTTGCCATTGGTGGGCATGGTGGATGTGAGCATGTCAATGGTTCAACGTTCATTGATGTCTTCCCTTTTTTTTTGTCCCTTGCATGGCAGTGGTGGGCATGGTGGATGTGAGCATGCCTGTTTGTTGGAAATGGATACCATGAGACTCACACAGACGCTCAAAGAGCTCATAGGTGGGTGGGAGACAATTCGTATGTCGTGTGCTATTCTTTATTTTAAAGGACCTTTTTATTCTCTTTTCCCTTTCTAATTGCTGATTTATTGCCACCATTCTTCCAAACGCCTACGTTTCTTGAACCCACCGCTCCAGACAATGCCATTCACCACACCACGACGGGCCATGTCTTGGTGCGGCTGTCTGTGTGTCCAGCTTCCACGGCTCTTGAAACCACCCTCGACCACATCAGTCAGTAGTTCCAACTCACTCTGCTGAATGAGCCCAAGGCACCGACCTCTGTTACCCTAGCCCTTCCCACTCCCCCATTGTCACGTTGCTCGTCGTTTCGTCGTTTTTTTTTTTTTTTTTTTTTGTTGTTGTTGTTGTTGTCCTGTTCTTATTGTGTCGAATCCAGCTCCCTTTTAGCTTCCACATCTCATGTTGTTGCTCCCTCGCTTTCCTATGTTCCATGTGTGTCTGTTTATGTTGGAAAATTCGCTCAGAAGGCTTAGCGTATAGCGTATATACGCTAGCGAATATACGCAATACGCTAATACGCTTGGAATACGCGATACGCAATACTGGGGCTGCCCGGCGAATAAAAAAATGAAATTCAAAAATTTCCCGGCAAGTTCGCGACATTGCGAAATCTCAAATTTTCGTCCACGCTTTTTCGCCCACCCCCTCACCAGGTGTGGACGTGGATGGAAGGCATCCCATGTTTGTCGTCCCCCCCATTCCCGCCATACTTCAGATCTGAAGCACCATCTCTCTTCATTTTTGAACTCCAAGCTCTCCCTCCCCTTGCTGATCTTAGCTTAGTTCTATTCATTCTTCTCTGTAGTGGTCATGGCGTCCACCTCATCAACCCCCGTTAGCGTGCCTGCTCCTACTAACGTTGGCGAGGCTTCCTCCTCCTCCGCCATTGTTTACATAACGGATGCTTCGCATCCTATTTTTAAGCATTTTGAAACCGCGCTTAACGCGGACGGCAAGGCAACGGACAACCGCTGCTGCAAATTTTGTGGGCACACCTTTAATGGCGGGATGACGCGTTGTGCACAGCACCTCGCCGAGTGGAACAAACTCCGTCACCGCGATGTGACCCTCTGCAGCGCTGTAACGCAAGAGGTGCGCAACGGAGTTAAGGCCCTGTACGAGGCACGGATTAGGGTGCGGGCGGGAGGGGAAGCGCGAGGCAGAGGAGCAGGCGTTGACCGTGGTTAGCGGCGGCGGCAGCGGCAAAAAGGGGCGCATCACCGATTTCTTTGGAGATGAGGCCGCCTGCCGCAAGAAGGAAGCGGACCAGGCGATCTGCCTCCTCTTCGCTGGGTTGCGCCTGCCGGAGCATCACGCGGACCACGTCCTCTTCAGGAATGCGGTCTCCGCCATCGCTCGAGCCGGCACCTCCTACGTTCCCCCGAAACGCAAGTTCATCGGCGGTGCCGGCCTCCGCGACTGCCGCACCAGTATCGAGACCGCGCTCGTTCCGATCTCCAGCAGCTGGTGGCGGAGCGGCGTCACCATTGCTAGCGATATGATGACGGACCAAAACGGCCGCCCCATCGCGAACGTCCTTCTCATCAACGACTCTGGCGCTGTTTTTGTTGATGCCGTGGACACGAACATGGAGATGAAGACCGGCGGGTACATTGCCGGTATTCTCCGCCCCATTCTCCAGCGCGTGGGGCCGGAGAATGTTGTCGCGTTCTGCATGGATGGCGGCTCGAACTACGCCGCAGCCTGCAGGATCTTGATCGCCGAGCACCCCGACATCGAGCACGTGCCTTACGCCACGCACGTGCTGGATCTCCTAATGGAGGACATCGGCAAGATGGGCTGGGCGAAGGAGGTGGTGGAGAAGGCCACGGTCATCACCTCCTTCGTCCGCAAGCACCACCTCACCCGCAAATACATGCGGAGCGACAAGGTGGAGGGGGGCAAGGGGAAACAGGTGCTGAATCCGGCCGGCACGCGTTTCGGCACCCAGTTCATCTCTGTGTCCTGGCTGTGCGAGGTGCGGATGTCGCTCACTCAGCTTGTGCTGAGTGACGAGTGGAGCAGGTTTGCGGCAGGGGGGAGGAAGCCGGGCAGCGAGGCGTTCAGCGCTGCCGTTCTGGACTCCGACTGGTGGACCAAGGCCTAGCAATTTGTCGACCTCATGCGGCTGCCGTTCGTTGCAATGAGCGCCACCGACTCGTCCGTGAAGGGCATGATGGGTCGTATCTACGACCTCATGCTGCAGCTTACCGTTGATGTCGATGAGAAGCTGGAGGAGGCGCGGCTGGAGGGACTCACCGCTGCGGACGCCCATGCCATCCGCCGCATTGTGAAGAGGAGGTGGGACGGCAGCATGGCGTGCCCCCTCCACGTGGTTGGCCGCATCCTTAACCCGGCCAACCAGGAGGAGGGGATCTTCCCCTCGGACATGGAGTGCACAAGGGTCTTCCCCGCCATTACGAAATCAAGGAGTTCATGAGGGACGGCGAGGCCGTTAGTGCATCTCTCGTGATGCAGGAAGACCTCGACGCCTTCATGACTCTGAAGGGCAGCTTCAGGCTCCCCACTGTCAGTGCTGATCGTGCAGCAGTGAAGGAGGGGAGGCAAACCATGGCGCGGTGGTGGCAGTGGCACGGGTCCGACTACCCTGAGCTTTCTGCACTGGCATGTCGGGTGCTCTCACAGCCGGTTTCAGCAGCCGCATGCGAGCGCAACTGGGCAGCGTGGGAGGCGATCCACACTGCCAAGCGCAACCGCCCCAGTGCCGAAAAGTGTCGGGACCTGGTCTTCGTGTCCCACAACTGGAACCAGGTCCACAACTGGCACAAGGAGGACGGGGGGTCCCTGGTCCTTCCAGGGACCAGCTCTGAGGCCCTTGTGCCCACGGGGTACATCCTGGAGGACGACTTGGAGGAGGAGGAGGGGGAGGATCTGGTTATGGAGGACGAGTACCAGTAGACCAGTCACCAGAGGAAGCAGCAGTGGGAGAGGCAGCAGCAGGACCAGGGGGGGAGGCAGCTGCAGCAGTGGGAGAAACAGCAGCAGCAGTGGACCAGACAGTAGCAGCAGTGGGCGAGGGAGCAGTGGCAGCAGTGGGCGTGAGAGGCTACAGCCGCTGTAGAAGTAGTAGCAGCAGTGCTAGCAGTGGGAGAGGGAGAACGGCTAGGGCAGTTTTGCTGGGAAGTGGTGTGGGGTGGGGGAATGTGGTCCTTGATAGACTCTTGATGTGACACATCCCTATGTTAAGTTATTTAAATGACCTAAAAAAAATCAACCTCCATGCCCTGCACCCCTGTGCCCTTCCCCCCTCTCCTGGCTGCCCGCCGGTTTTTTTGCCTGCTCGGGAAAAAAAATTCCCCTGCCCGGGCAGCTGTGTTCCTGCCGTATTGGACCCCAAACCCCTGCGTACAGCGTATATACGCTAGCCATATACGCTAGCGTATAAAACGCAATACCCGTATATTCCAACATAGGTGTCTGTGCCGGTGTTCCGCTCTGCCCTCCTCAGATGTATCAGACACCCCGCTCCAGCCTCATCCTCTGCTTCGCCCCTCGTTCTTCACCCAGATTACTCATTCGCTCACCTACCTTGGGCTAGTATTCACCCAGCTGCCCAAGCGTTTTGGAGCGACCACCACGAGCTAGCAGAACAGGATTCAGAAAGCGAGGAGGAGGGGGCGATGATAGTGGAAGCGGACGAGGCAGCAGTAGCGGTGGGGGAGGTTGATGAGGGAGTGAATGGGGGGAGGAGCGAGGATGGAGGTGGATGGGTGGATATGGGTGGTGGTGGGTGGAGTGGTGGCAGCAGGAGGATGCAGCTGGTGGTGTCGTGCGAGGATACAGTGTGTGGCTTCAGTGCTGCGATGCAGGAAGGCCTCTTTGAGTTCAAGGTGAGGGCGAGCAAGGGAAAGGGACCTTGGGGTGGTAGTGGTTGGATGGAGCGGCATCGGTGAAAGGATGCAGCTGGTGGTGTCGTGAAGATACAGGGTGTGGCTTCAGTACGGTGATGCGAGAACACCTTTTTGAGTTAAAGGTGAGGGTGTATAAAACTCCCATGTGGAGCGTGCGTTTCACCTGACATATGCAGGTATGGGATAGCAAGGTTTGCATGGCAACATGGGTTGGTGCAGGAGAGGAGAAAATGTAGACAGCCAAACGATGGCATGGGAGAGGATGCTAGTGTGTCTTTCGGGGTGCTATGTTAGTTGAACACACGTCATCTCATTTCATCCTGCTGCCTGGGTTACGTCTGATAACTGCAGGGACGGTCGGAGAGTGGAGGAGCGGGGCTGGGTCTTGTTCTCGCGCACCAGTTGGTAAGGGCTATTGGCACTGGAATATTGAGAGGTCTATCACTACCTGATGCCCACTCTGTGGCCCTTCAATCAACAACACTGCAATGCACTGCTCTAGGCACTCCCGTCCCAATGCTACTCTCTGCTCTTTTGTTGCCTGTATGGTATTTGGCCTGCATTTCAATGCCTAAAAACTGCTTGCTCTAGGTATTTCAATGCCTCATTCCCCACCATCTCGTCTTGACTTCTCTGCTGCTTAATCGCCTCTACTATATTTGGCCTGTGTGTACCTGCCTGCATATTATCCCACTTGGCTTCTCTGCGTGCTTGCATATAAACAATCCGCACAAAAGTATTTTTTTTCCCATCCTGCAAATGTTGCATCAACCTTAAAGCTGAAACCCTAGTCGGAATCAGCTCAGCACTCCACACATTGATGATTGAGGCCCATCCCTTGGTCACACTGCTCCACTTCCATCGATCACATCTCCTTTTGGCTGCCCATCCATCACAATTCCCACTTCATCTTGGTCATCCATGAATGGTCTTGTTCTTGATTCTCCCTCTCTGCCATCCCTCTGCCCTTCTCCCCACCACTTCCTCTTCCCCCCCCCTCTCAGGCGCCCCTCATGGGTGCGTCTTGCCTGCTTGTCCATTGCCTCCCTCTCTTCGCCCCCATCCCCAACACCCTTCTCCCCCCAGGCGCCCCTCATGGGTGGTCGTGTCACCTGCTTGTCTCATCCCGGCATCGGCTCCACCTTCGCCTTCTCCGTCCCCTTCGCTGCGCACCCCTCCCCCCCTCACACTCTTGGCCCACCCGACACTCCCACTACTCGTCATCACTCTCCTGTTCTTCCGGGCCGGCATTATTTATACGATGCGCCACTTGAAAGCCCTTCTTTCCCGGCAGGCGGGGGAGATGTGGTGGGGATGTGGGGCAGAGGAATTATGGGGATGTTTGCCGTTTTTGGGATCTAGCAAAAGGCGGGATTGTGGCAACAGGGGAGACGTGGGGAGATTCAGGGCCCAGAGGCGGACGGGGGGTGAAGGACAGAGAGAGGAGAGGGAGGAGGAGTGTGTGGGGCCCACAAGCAGCATTGATGGGGTAGCTGTTGGCGTGGTGGGGTCTGATGCAGGCAGCAGGGAGGTGAGACATGGGGCCCATGTGACATGATAGGGGGGTGTGGGACATGATGCCATGTGATGTGATAGGGGGATGTGTGGAAGTTGAGCATGGGAAAGGATGCTTTATTCGACCTTTGTTCCCCTCCGAACAAAAGCCCTTTCATAAAGTTACCACCGCCTGTGGCAGTTGCTGCCCGACTCTTATCTTTGACGCACCCTTCTTCTCCTTTGAACCCCTTGTCTTCTTCCCCTCGTCAGCTCACGGCTCGCTTCCTATCAAGTCTCGGAGCACAAGTGCATCTGCTGCCAGCAACAGTGGAAGGCGCATCAGACAAACGCTCATGTTGTGAAACGGCAGAGCTGACTTTTGATTCGACTCAAAAGGCAGAGCTCCATTTCCTGCCAGCAAAGCAAGAACAGAGGGAGACAGTGGCGCAAAGTCATGTGCAGTCTGCAGGGGGGGCAAACGGCTCGGTTGGTGAAAAGAGACTGGGAGAGGGTGGGGGGGAGAAAGGGGGAGAGAGAGGGGAGGGAGAGGGGGTGAGTGTGCCATGGGTGGTGGTGGTGGTGGAGGAAGGGGACCTGTGGAGGCAACAGAGTGAGGGAGGAGAGGTACTTTCTGGCAGTCCATGTGAGAATGGTCGGCAGTGTGGCAGGAATGGACGGCAGAGTGACATGGATGGGCGGCAAAGTGACATGGATGGGCAGCATAGTGACATGGATGGGTGGCAAAATGACATGGATGGGCAGCAAAGTGACATGGATGGGCGGCACAGTGACATGGATGGGCGGCAAAGTGACATGGGCAAGCTCCTCTTGGGTGTTGTGGGGCGGCAGAGAGGTTTGATTGGTGAAGGGAGCGTGTATGGGGAGGAAGGAGGCCGGGTGCGGTAGCAATTGTGCCTGCAGGGGCAGCGGCGTGGCAGGCAGCCGTGCGGCTCGTGAGACGGGTAGAAGGGATGGCTTGTGTCGGACATGTGGTGGGGGTTGTCGTTCTGGCAGGCTTCTGGAGTGGCGAGGAGATGTGGGGAGAGGGGAGGGATGAAGAGGAGGATGAGAAGGAGGGTGAGGTGAACGTTGAGGACAAAGATGAGGAGGAAGCGGAGGAGGCAGAGGCGGGGAGTGAGAAGCAGTTCGCTGAGGGGGGAGAACCGGAAGGTTCCGCTCAGTCTGAACCATCACCAGCCTGTTCGTTTACAGCTACTAATGGTGCTGCTTCTCCCACCTCTCCCCGTGTGGTCATCTGTCGCCGCCCGCTTCTCTCTCACTATCTGCACCATGCCATTCAGGTGAACCTCTGTTGCCATCAGGCCTCTGTTGCCATCAGGTGAGCCTCTGTTGGCAAAAGGTGAGCTGTCAGGTCTCTGCAATGCGGTCTACTGCTGATTCTTTGCCACTCCACTTTCTACTCCCACGTTCTTGGACGTTCTTAGATTTCTGTATTCCTGCACGACCGTGACCTCCTGTCCTTCCACATGCCTTTTCATACCTTCCCATACCTTCCAATACCTTCCTATACCTTCCCATGCCTTCCCATACCTTCCCATACCTTCCAATACCTTCCCATACCTTCCCATACCTTCCCATACCTTCCGATACCTTCCCATGCCTTCCCATACCTTCCCGTGCCTTCCCCGATCCCGTGCCTTCCCCCATGGTCACCCAAACCCAGATGGCAGCATTTGGACTCGATGCAAGCAGCCTGTCCCATGGCAGCAGAGGCTGCGAGAGACACGGCAGCTCTGTGCCTTGGACAGAAATAGACGAGGGCAGGGAGCAGGACGAGAGCAGAGAGGGCAGCAGAGAGGGGAGCAGAGAGGGGAGCTTGAAAGCACATCCGTTCTCAATCGGCTGGAGTGTGGGGGGCAGTGGCAGGGAGCAGCAGAACGGCATTGAGGGTCGGAGCGGCAGTGATGGTGGCAGGGTGGCACGCGTAGGGCATGGAACTGCATGGCACGGTGGCAATACACAGGGTGATTCGAGTGAGCAGAGTAGAATCGGTGGCTGTGATTTGGAGTGGAGTGGCAGGCGAGCCGTGGGGAGAAGCCGCAGCATGGGAGTAACGGGCACATGTATGGCAGCCGCCGGTGCTTCCACCAGCAGAAGCAGCAAACTCAAGGGCAGCAGAAAGGCATCAGCATCAGCAGCAGCAGCAGCGGCAGCAGCAGCAGCAGCAGTGGCAGGGCTGGGTGCAGGGGCAGGGGCGCGCTCCCTCTCAGCGAATGCGGCTGAACCAGCCTTTGCCTCCTGTTCGGCCCAGGGGGGGGTGCACAGGGTGCTGCAGGGGCTGGGCGTGCTGGTGGTGGACGACACGGGCGTGAACCTGGTGGTGGCCCGCCGCACTCTGAGTCGATGCGGCGCCGCTGTGGCCACGGCAGGCAGCGGGGAGGACGCAGTGCGGCGGGTGAAGGCGGCCATGGGGGGGGCGGGGGAGGCGCTGGATGTGGTGCTGATGGACCTGCAGATGCCAGGCATGGACGGGTGAGTGGGGGGATGTAATGAGCAGGCATGGGTGTGTCATGAGCGTGTGATTATCTCAATTGTCGTCGCATGTATGTCCACCCCAACCCCGTACTCTCCATTGCCCCCTGTGCCTCGCTATAATTGCACCCAGGTTCATGGCAACAGAGGCCATACGAGCACATGAACAAGCCCGAGCTTTGCATTCAGCATCGTCAGCAGGCCCTTCGGTCCCCCGGGTGCCCATAGTGGCTCTGACAGCAGATGTGGATGAGGAGATTACTCGGCGCTGCCTTGCGAATGGCTTTGATGGCATTCTGCAGAAGCCAGTCGACCCCAAGCTGCTCTCGCACCTGCTGCTGCGGATTAATAACAAGGCAAGGCAGCCTTGCCGGCCAGGGTACAGCAGGAGTGTTTCACATCCTGTTGCAAAAGCCGTGCCATCGTTGCGTGATGCGCAAAGAGCAATGACTTTGGCTGCTTATGAGTGTAGAAGTTAGAATGCTGTTCTGTGTCGATGGAGCTGTTGGTCACATGAAGTTTTGAGGCGCCTCAACAATGGGCAGTCAGTGACATCATGGCTTCGCTGTGGCACAAATTGCCACCTGTAGGCAGCATCCTAGCACCAATGTAGCAAGCTAGTGAGGCCCAGTGCTGATGTTTGGTTTTTCAGTACTCTTAAATCTGGAAGCTTCTTTCACCATTACTCTGAAAACTAGAGTGGTCCTCAACATTTTCCATCACGCCTAGACTCATTCTTTGAGCCACGATGGAAAGTGTCACAGGAGGACGAATCGATTCACAGGTCGTCGACATCATCATCGTCAAACCATGGGCTAGGTCCGGGGTGCTCATAGGGGAATAGGTTATGCTCGAGCTCCTCTACTGCCGCCTCGTCTTCCGCAGAGGCGAAGGTGCAACCCGTGTAAGCATAGGCGGTGGCAGCACCAACTGTGCAGTCTTCTCATAGAAGAGGACGTACCGTAAAGGATCCACCTTGGACATGTTGAAGTCCAAGATGTTCCATGCTCTGTACCCCTTGGAGATTCCCAGGTGAATCCCCAGCAGGATTGCCGCTCGAACTTCCTACTGCGCGCGATATGAGCACCATGCACCTCCACACGCGGAGCAAGATCGTGTCCCCGGCCGTGCTGGTCCACTTTCGATGCGGTGAGATATTATCCTCATTTGTCATGGTGGACAGCATGTTGTGCACCCGCACGGCATGATGCATGGCGTATGGCCAGTAGTTAGATGGTAGGAGGGACTGGTGCATCATGGCCTGCACCTTGGTTATCAAGGTGTGGTTCATCCTTTCATCGACTCTGTACTGAAAGTGAGCGTACGGCAAGGAGAGACGACATTCGATCCCCAGCAGTCCGAATAAGGTTTGCAGTTCCTCACTGCGGAATTCCCGAGCTCCGGCGGTTTGCCAGTATTTGAGCTCCTTTCCTGACTGGCGCTCAGCAGGGTTGAGCAAGAGGTTGAAGAGCTGATGGACTCGGCCTATGTTCCACACGTTGTCGGCCCATATATAGTGGGTGCTGGTGTCGATGAAGGTGAGTGTGTACTGCTCGCCCTGAGTCCCGACTTGAATGAGTACGAGGTAGTCGTTGTATACTTGCTCGAGTTTCTCATAGCGGTTGGTGCTGCACTCAAGCAGCGAAAAGGGCTGGTGTGTGAGAGCGGCTTCAAGGCAGACTGTGTAGTTGTGGGGTTCTTGGCTGATCTGGAGCTCGTTGCCGTCTGAGTCTAGTAGTGTCCCTAGGGCGAAGTCTCCTGCCCTAATGAGTTTTTTAGGGTAGTGTGAGAGGGGTGTCCAAGCTGCTGATGCCAAGTGTTAATAGGTGCGCGGTAGCCACTGGAACGATGGTAGCGAGCAGCGAATTCAGCTGAGGTTGGTTCTTGCTTAGGAGGAGGTGAGGCTGTAACAATAAGCACAAGAAAATCCCTCTCGAGGATGTCAGTGCCAATAACGATCTCTCTTGGGGGAACTGCCGGGCCAGCAGGTGACTCTCCCACTCCTTTCATTGGAGCTGGTGGATGAGAGAGTCGATTCAAAGGAGGCCCTGGATGATGCTAGGCTCCCAAGTCTGCATTTACCCCTCTTCTTCCTCAGATCGGAAAGGTGTCATGTCCGGGGGATTGGGACTTCCGAGTCCTTGGGCTGGTTCAAGGGGCAAAAGTTGGTGGGCGAGGTTCATCAGCCCATGGTACGCATTTGTACTCTGCTCAGGTGCCAGGAGGTTGAAAAGGATGGCCAAGGGGAACAACAGGTCTTTCCCCTGGTCCTCTTGGTCGTCTCCTCCCCTATACCAGAGTCACGGGTCGAGGCGATAGTAGCTTGTGTCGGGGTCGAGGTGCTAGGGATTTGGTTCCTCGAGGCTGGGTTCTGGGACCCCTCTTCATGCTGAGTCTGGCACATTTGTCCATCGTGGAGGGTCTGGGCCCATCCCCAACCCTTTCTTGTAGCTAGGGCACCTATCTCGACTCTAGGTTGTTGTGACGTTTCGCCGACTGTACCTTCAGTCTGTGTTATTGTTCCCTCTTCTGCTTCTGTTCCCTCTACTGCTCATGTTCCTTCTACTGCTGCTGCTTCTGCTACTGTTACTACTGCGACTGCTTTTATGCCTACTCCTGCCTTTACTGCTATTGCTGCCTTGGTGTTTGTCCATGCTGTTGCTTCCACTGCTATTGCTGTTGTGGTTTTTGCAGTGTCTTCCTCAGTTGGCTCGCGCCATTTGGGACTGAAGGCCATGTGAGCAGCAATGTCCCAAGGGCTGGCTCGCGCGATGTTGACAAAGCAGCTAGGTCCCACGTAGCAAAGAACACAGTGGTAGTGTACTTTTGCTGGGATGTCTGTGGTACATCAACAGCCCAAGGCGCTTCCCTCATCCTCATCCCTTTTGCCGGCTTGGGGGTTGCGATAGCAATTGAAATGTCGTGAGCCGACCATGTGTTGGCCACATCAGTTATAGAGGTACTGTACCACTGATTGTTATTCTTGACGTCGCTTCGCGCGAGGAGTGCGATCATTGGCGTGAGTAAGAAGGGGCGGTTCTCCCAGTGCAAGAATCTTTGTGCAGGATTCCGTCAAAGTTTACCTCTCCGGTTGCGACGCTCGTGTCCGGAAGGGATGGAGGACACTCAAGTAGGGGAATAGGAAGATTTCATTCCTGCTTGTATGCGTCACATCCGTAGTCTCCATCCATAGTGCATGGGTTGTTGTATTCAGCGTCTTCGACCTCAAGGAAATATTCGTCATCGTTTGGGGGCAACAGAGGGTGGCGGTTGGCAGCGATTCATACGGTGCGTTAATGCAGAGGTGCGCAACGCCATGAATGCTTGCCAGACAACTCTAGTGTTGGCGGGCCTTGGCTGGCGCGGATCCATTGGCGCATTTGGACGCGGGGCGGGTCGCTGGTCCACTTGGGACAAGCGACCGACCTAGCGCTGTACATGTCGAGATCCATGGGCCTCCTCTGATCGGTAGTGCTTTACTGGCCGTCATGAGGAGTGGGGGCGTTGGGAGTTCTGTAGCTGCTGCTGCTGGGTCGATTTGCGCAGCGTTCGGTAATGACCGAAGGTTTCAGCAAAGACGCATGTGCCTTGGCAAGTGGCCCTCATTGGGGTTGGGGCACAGGTGAAGCATGTGCCCCCAATGGTATGTTTTTTAGTCGATTCAAAGCATACCATCCATGGTTGAGTCACGACCGCATGGTTGAGGCACGACCGCATGGTTGAGGCATGACCCCATGGTTGAGGCATGACCGCATGGTTGGGTCATGTCCCATGGTTGAGGCATGTGCCATGGTGTGTCTGTGCATATTGATTGACATGTGCCCTGTCTGTGGAATGTCTTCATAATCGTGGCTTGTGAGTGCGCCCGTGATCTTGGTATGTACCCATGCCCAAGGCATGATCCATGGTTGAGGCACCCCCTCCTCCTCCGCCGCGCCCAGCCTTGGGGCGGCGGCCCTTCCCCAGACGGAACTGCACGGCAGCAGTAGTCTCAGCCACAGCGGCAGAATCGTCGGAGAAGGTACACTGAGCGGGGGCACAACCCTGAAAGATAGGGACCGGCACAGTACCGCTCGCCTGGGCGATGGAGCGGTGGCGGGTCTCAATAACAGTCAGGGTGTCTACAAAGTCGGTGAGGGTGAGCTCACCGGGGTGGATGCTAAGGAAGCGGTCGCGGGCGGCGGCAAGGCGGTCAGGGAGGCGGGTGGCAAGCAGGTAGAGGGTAGAGGTAATGGGCAGCTGGTGGGCTCTAAGCTGTGCGTCAGTGCAGGCCGCGCGCCAGGTCTCATCTATCGTGCGCAGGTGGGCAGCCAGGTCAGCGACAGTGGGGAAAGACGCAAGGTCAGGAAAGAGCATCAGGAGGATCAGGCGACCCACCGAGGCAGCAGGAGGGGTGGAATAGCGCTTGATGACAGCATCTAAGAAAGCCTGGGCGGTAGTGATGGACCTAAAGCGAGGGCGCTCAGACGGGGGAAGGGCATTGCTAATGGCAAGCTGGGCGACAGCGTCTTGGGAAAGCCAGACAGAGCGCGCAAGGGCAGCGGCTGCAGTAGACTCGCGCTCAGCGGGTGTGGGGTCAGCGGGCAGCACAGCAGGGGGGTCTGGGCAAGGGAGCGTACCGTCAAGGTGTGCGGAAAGCAGGTGGCCATCCTGCCGCTGGCCAGTGAGGTGGCGACGGAGGTCGGCGAGCCACGCCTCGAACTCCAAAGGCTGGCCTTCAGCGTCGAAGCGAAGCTCCGCCGCCATCAGGAGCAGTGCAGGACAGTGAGGTGCAGTGCGGTGCAGCGCGGTGCAGTGCGGTGCAGGGCGGTGCAGGGAGGTGCAGTGCGGTACCGTGCGGTGCAGTGCGGTGCAGGGCGGTACCGTGCGGTGCAGGGCGGTGCAGCGTGGGGCAGTGCGGTACAGTGCGGTACAGGTGACGGGAAACCGTACCAGGGAGGGTGCAGGGCTGGAGCAGGCACGACGAGCGGGCCGCACACAGCTCGGGGCAGGACGGGCGCTGGGGCCAGGAGCAGCGGGCACCAGACCGGCGGGACGAGCGCGGGGCCGACGGGGTGGGCGCAGGGCCGGCTGGGACGGGCGCGGGGCCGGCTGGGACGGGCGCGGGCCGGCTGGGACGGGCGCGGGCCGGCTGGGAGGAGCGCGGGCCAGCTGGGACGGGCGCGGGTCGGCTGGGACAGGCGCGGAGCCGGCTGGGACGGGCGCGGGCCGGCTGAGACGGGCGCAGGGGCCGAGCGGGCAGGGCGCGGAGGTCGCGAGGGCGGGCGTGGGGCCGGCTGGGACGGGCGTAGGGGCCACTAGGGTAGCGCGGGGGCCGCTAGGGCGGGCGCTGGGGCGGGCACGAGGGGCCGCTAGGGCAAGCGCGGGGGCCGCTAGGGCGGGCGCTAGGGCGGGCACGAGGGGCCGCTAGGGCTAGCGCGGGGAGGCCGCTAGGGCAGGCGCTAGGGCGGGTACGAGGAGCCGCTAGGGCGAGCGCGGAGAGGCCGCTAGGGCGAGCGCTAGGGCGGGCACGAGGGGCCGCTAGGGCGGGTACGAGGGGCCGCTAGGGCGGGGCGCTAGGGCGGGCACGGGGCTGGCTAGGACGGGCGCTAGGGCGGGCACGGGCGAAGGGGCCGCGAGGGCGGGCACGGGGCCGGCTAGGACTGGTGCTAGGGCCGAGGGGAGGGGCCGCTAGGGCTAGCGCGGGGAGGCCGCTAGGGCAGGCGCTAGGGCGGGTACGAGGGGCCGCTAGGGGGGGGCACGAGGGGCCGCTAGGGCGGGCACGGGGCCGGCTAGGACGGGCGCTAGGGCGGGCACGGAAGCGTGGGTGGGCGGGGACCTACCTACTGCTGATACCATCTCAAAACTGAATGAATGACTAGTGAGAGAGAGTACAGGTGAATATATCTAAGTGTTGTACCCTTTAAGAGGTGACCCTATACAGTCTATGCAAACATAAGAGATACACATGTTTGACAAAGACATGTGCCCTGTTTGTGGCTTGCCTCCTCAGACTTGTGCCATGATCTTGGTATATACCCATGCCCAAGGGCTGTGCCCATGCTCATGCGCCCTTATCAAGTACATCTAACCCACGAAGGAATCAATTCTCTATTCACCATCCATATCAGTGCAAATCACTGCTGAATGTGAACTGTTGGATCTGAAAGGCTTCAAAGAGACCCCAGTCTGCATGGCTTCCCAATGTGCAGCAGCAGGTGCGAGAGTAGCTTGGGGTCGACTGGCTTCTGCAGAATGCCATCAAAGCCATTCGCAAGGCAGCGCCGAGTAATCTCCTCATCCACATCCGCTGTCAGTGCCACTATGGGCACTCGAGGAACCGAGGGGACTAGAGGGGCAGCAACAGAGGTGGCTGAACCTTCAATCGCTGCTTCCGCTCCCCCTTCTGACGATCTCGCAAGCTGACCGGCTGTGGCTTGCTCATGTGCTCGTATGGCCTCTGTTGCCATGAACCTGGGTTGGTAGGGAATGAAATGGGAATTGGGTGAAATCCCTACTGGGATAAACAAAATCTCCAATTGATTGGTTGGAATCTGTGTGTAACACCCAAACCACGCAAACATTCCTAGTTGAACCTAGGATGGAGACGCACAATACACAAGTGGCACAGCAATCTAGCGCTAACAAGAGGCACCAAACGTCTGAGGGTCAGAGGTGGCCTGAGTGGAACCCGGAAATGATGGGAATGGCGAGCAACAACGGGTGATCTCATGCCTATGACTCACCCGTCCATGCCCATGACTCACCCATCCATGCCCGGCATCTGCAGGTCCATCAGCACCACGTCAACCGCCGCCTTCTCCTCATCTCCCCCACCATCCTCCCCCACACCAGCCCCTATGGCCTCCTTCACCCGCCGCACTGCGTCCTCCCCGCTGCCTGCCGTGGCCACAGCGGCGCCACATCGACTCAGAGTGCGGCGGGCAACCACCAGGTTCACGCCCGTGTCGTCCACCACCAGCACGCCCAGCCCTTGCAGCACCGCAGTGACCTCCCGGGCTGACAGGGAGTCGCTGCCTGTTAGGGCTGCAGTCGTTGTGATGGAGCGTTCACGGACCCCTCTACGCGACCCTCCACCTGCTCCTGCTGCCGCCATCGCCGCCGCTGCTGCTGCTGCTGCTGCTGCTGAGGAGGAGGATCCTTCCAGGCTACATCTGCCAGTCACATAGCTGCTTCCTCGCCTCACACCGCCTCCTCCTCCTGCAACTCCTCCTACTCCCGCCACTGCTGCTGCGGCTTCTTCAAGGCTCACCATGCTTGCTGCTCCCCTCTCTCGCTCCATGCTTGCACTGCAAGACAACGTGCCTCCTGTGAGGCTGCTGCATCTACCGGCGGCAGCCCACGTTCTGACGTCCCCCTGGCTCTCACCACCAGCATTGCCAACGTTAGAACCCCCATGGTTGTGACCGCCAGCATTGCCAGTCCCCTCACCGTCTCCCAAGCTGCTGCTTCTGAAACCGCAGGAGGCATCCAAGGGTGTCGACCGCATGACGTCGTCGCCGTGCATGGGCATGCTCCTCCCCCCATCATGTGCGCCATCCTCTGTTCTACAGATCTCTTTATAATCACCCTCCTCAGTGTCACCCTGCCCATCCATGGAGCATGCTAACCAGGCCTGCTCTTCTAATCGCAACTCTCTGCTCCTCTGCCCCCTGCTGCCCTCTAATACACCGCAGGGCTGGATGCTCCCGTACCCCTCACAGGCTCTGCTGCCAGGAGATGGGCTGCTGGCTTCAAGCCCGAATGCTGCCAGCTGGAATGAACAGAGACGGGTGAGGGGAAGGGCGTGGGAAGGGCATGGGAAGGGCTTCGGAAGGGCTTGGGAAGGGTAGTGACCAATGCGTGCAGAAGCACATGAAGGAACTAGCTTAGAGGAGAAAATAATAATTGAGTAGGGAGCCAAGAGACTCTACTGTACAAACAAGGAGCAAGGATGAGGTGGAAGGGAAGCTCTCCTATTGGCCATAATGTGGAACAATGGGAGAGGTAGCTTGGAGGACAAGCAACCACAAAGTGTGGTGCTCTCCTATTGGCCACAATGTGGACCAATGGGAGAGGTTGCTTGGAAGGCAAGCCACCACAAAGTGTGGTGCTTGGTGATTGGTTGGTTCTTAGGACCAAGGACCATTTGGTTGGAATAGTGCCAACCAGATGTCTAGGACCAAATCCAATCTTGACCAACCCAAATGTGGGGTTGGTCAACCCAACCAACAACCCCCCAATAAATATAATGACTACACCTCCTAATCTAGGCATGCATGTTGTATCGATCTATATTTTACAACAGCACAATGACGTAAGAGAAGGGTAATGGAGAAGATTTCTAAAGAGCTGAAGGCTCACCTGATGACAACAAAGACTCACCTGGAGGCAACAGAGCCTCACCCGATGGCAACAGAGGCTCACCTGAACAGCGTGGTGCAGATGGTGAGAGAGCAGCGGGCGGCGACAGATGATCACACGGGGAGAGATGGCAGAGGCAGGGCAAGCGGCCATCTCAGTCTGATGCCTCTCTTCCCCCCCGTCTGCACTCCTCTCCCTCTCCTCCTCCTCCTCTTCCTCTCCCATTCCCTCGTCTCCCCCCATCTCCTCGCCACTCCAGCAGCCCGCCAGAACGACAGCCCCCACCACCTCTCCACCGCATGCCATCCCTTCCACTCGCCTCACGACCCGCACGGCTGCCGCCCATGCCGCTGCCCCTGCAGGCACCATCGCCACCCCAGGCGTTCTACTATCATGCTCCTCACCCACCGCCCCTCTCCCTCCCCCATGTTCTCCCCACCCCACATTCCCACTGCACTGCTGACCAGCCATGTAGTTCACACTCTCCCCCTCATGAAGTTCACTCTCCTCCTCACTCTGCTGCGGCCACACATCCTCCTCCCCCACCACCACCACCCAGCGCATACCCTCTCTCATACCACCCCTCTCTCCTACCTCTCCCTCTCCCCCTTCCTCGCTTTCTCCCTCTCTGGCTCTTCTCCCACCATATAAGCCAGTCACCGAGCCAGCAGAATCCCCGTGTCTTCTCCCCTCAATCTCCCCGTGGCTTCTCGCCCCTGTTTCTCCCAGCGGCCTTTGTGTGACTCCCGACTCTACTGTTGCTGGCGTTGGCAACAGGTGCACCTGTGCTCCGAGACCTGATAACATGCGACCCATGAGCTGATGAGGGGAGCAAGGGAAGGGGAAAAAAAGGGTGGAATGGCGGGGCGGTTGGGTGGGGTGGGGGGGGGAGTGAGGGAGAGATCGGAAACACGAAAGGGAAGAGGTGGCGTAAGGTGGATCAAAACGAGGTGCTAGGTTCATGCGGGCGGGGTACTGCCCACACCATTGCATGAGAGACACTCCTGATGGAGATATTAAGGGCGAGAAACAGAAGTCTGCTCCTATGAGAAGCATGGTATCAAGCCCTCTTCCGATCGCCACATGATGCCACCAAGCCCTCTCTCAAAGCCACGTGGTATTATTGCTCCACACCTTCACCTTCACCTTCCCCACCCTCAACCCCCCCATCCCCCCTCACTCCCCCTCCACTCACCTCCCTTCTTTGTGCATCAGACCCCACCACGCCAACAGCTACTCCCTCCATGCCGCAAGTGTGAGAAGTCGGAGACCGAGCGGTAGGAGTGTGAGCAGCAATAGTCAGGGGGGTGTGGGGCGAGGAGGGGGGCGCAGCGAAGGGGACGGAGAAGGCAAAGGTGGAGCCGATGCCGGGATGAGACAAGCAGGCGACACGACCACCCATGAGGGACACCTGGGGAGGGGTAGGGGGGAGTGGGCGGACAGAGGGAGGAAGGAGGGCAACGGGCAAGGAGGAGACACGAGCACCCATGAGGGACGCCTGGGGGGAAGGGTAGATGGAGGGAGAGAGCACAGAGGGAAGGCTAAAAGAAAGTGTATGGCAGTCTGAACAACAGAGATAAATACCAAAATATGCACACAGCCTTATAAGATGCATATTCGCTTACCAGCTGCTGTGTTAACACAAGACCCAGCCCTGCTCCTCCACTTTCCAGTCTTCCCTGCAATCACCCAACAAAGCAAAACACCAAAAGCAATGTCGTCGAGTTCAACTGTCTGTGGGACAATCAAGGTGCCACATATAGATTGCACCATTTGAGGGATCGGGCAAATTCCATTAAAAAGCCTAAACACTAAAGCCTAAACCCTCAAGGTGTCAGCACTGGATAAGCCGACCGACTAATTTTAGGCGCCTCAGAAGCCGACTCATACGAGAGCCTGATGGCTGACACAAACCTACACGAGTAAGACTGTTGTGTGACGTCATCATATGCTATCACATTCTGTCTGCCTCCCATCCCATGTTTTCAACTTGCATGTGTGGTTTGAACATGTGCAAGAATTTGTGTGGTGTGTTCTAGAGTTTGGGAATGTGTTTTGTGTTATTCTGTTTGAGCATGTATTTTGTGATGATAGATCTTGAGAAGATCTTTCCGACGCAACGAGAATCGCTTCAATCGGAGCAAGAACGCGAAAGCTATGAAGATTCAAAGTTCATGAGCTTGCGTTACAATTGCGGCAGTTACAAAGTGAAGTTGTGGGGTGACTCCATATGGATTTGGGACCTTCGAGGTTGGAAAAATTCGTCACTCTACTGTAGCAGCTGCAAATTGGTTGGGAACAACCAAGCTAGGTTGCAAAGGGTGGCCAACATGGATGGATTGGTTGAGAAGGGACAAAGGTCAAAGTTGAGGTTTTTATAGGAGGGAAATTTGTGCTTGTGGGGTTTCTTTAGTTGGGGACTTTTTTGGCACCTTCCCTCTCATCCTTCTTTTCCTATTCCAATCTTTTTCTTGCTCTTTTAATTCCATGTGAGATTCTTGAACCTTAATTGAAGTTTGAGATTGAGTAAAGTTCTTCTCCTACAGCATACCCCCCAATGCGTCGAAAACCATAGCGTCGCGGATAATTCATCAATCTGCGTGATTCAAATTGGGAATGATAGCTAAGATTAAGAGCTACAACATATCCGAATTTTGCGACATTCCAACGGTTAGGTTTATGTCGACGACGTTTCTAGTGGAGACAACTTTTCTGTCTAGAATTTCGGATTTATATTTTCAGTAATTCTAGCTCTTAAGTTCACCTAGACTAGGCTTGAGCAACGGGTCGGGTCGGGTCGGGTAACCCGACCCGAACCCGACTTTTTGACGGGTCGGGTCGACATTTTCGGAGGGTCGACCCAACCCTCGGGTACCCGACCCGATCCGACCCGACCCAACTGACAAAACCCGACTCGTCGGGTCGGCCTATTACCCGTCCCAGCCCCTATGCCAACCCGACCCGACCTGACCCGAAATCGGGTCCGTTAGTACCCAACCTATTAAACCCGGGTCGGGATGACATTTCTTGAACTTCGACCCGACTCGACCCAACCCGACCCGACCCGAACCCGACATCGGGTAGGGCAAAGTCGGGTCGGGTCGGGTTCATGCTCAAGCCTAACCTAGACTCCGTCCTTAATCCTAACAAAGACATAAGAATCCGCATCATACTTGACACATGTACCATCAGGCACTGTGATTGGAAAGGTGGACCGTGTGGATCCCTCAGTTTGACCACAGGGATGTAGAGTTGAGTTTCACTGTAGAGACACACAGCTGAGTTACCTTACAGCATACCAGGATCGTATCCTGCACCTGGCATGCTTCTGCTGGTTGACTTGTTTCCAACAATTACACGAAACCGCTTCTACAAAGGACTGGTGGGTTTTCTCACCTTGACCTCAAACAACCCTTCCAGCATCGAATCATCGATGCCGCACCCTGTGTCCTCACACGACACCACCAGCTGCATGCCTCCCTTGCCCTCGCTCCACCCACTACCACCCTCATAGCAGTCCCCCCCAACCCCTCCCCCGCCCGACTTCACACGCCCACCTCCCCGAACGCCTCCTCTGCCCTCTACCACTACTACTCCTGCTGTCGCTGCCTGCTCCTCGCTTTCTGCATGAGAAGCCTCGCATGCAGCCCTTCCTAGCAGCGGCAGAAACGCGAGCAGGTAAGCCATACAGGAGGAGCAAGAGCCGCCAGGAGGAGGGGGAGGGGGGTGAAGAGGAGGAGAAGAGGCTCGGAGTGGGGTGTCTAATGCATCTGGAGGAGCGCCCACAGAGATACAGGGGGGAAGGGGTGCAAGGAGGGGAGAAGGGCGGGAGTGAATGAGGGGAAAACGCACATCTATCAGTTCAGTTGACTGGAGTATTGGGTGAATGGTGGGACACGCTGGACATGGCGTGGGAAAGTGGAGAAGAAGAGCAGCCGTGGAGCACATAACGCTAGGAGGGTGCTACGAACACTCGAGCTGAGGATGGTTGATCATCATCAACGAAGAGTGGCAATGGTGGAAGAACGCTCGAGTTAGAATGCACGAATGGCAGGCAGGCCCTAAGAGCATAGGAACCTACAACCTAGGCTAAGGGCAGTCAATGCTATCCTTCTAGGCAATACTGACTGAGTAGGTTGAGGGCGCCCTCAAGGGTGGTGGCAGCGGGGAAGACAGACACGCGCACCAACACGTGGCCGGTTGCTGTGTAGCCAACTGCATTGTCTGGAGTGGTCAGGAATTGGCAGGGCAATCATTGCAGCGAGTGACTAAAAATGTCTAGAGTGCCAGAGAAGCCACCAAAGCCAGGTATTGAGCATGAAACGATTGTTAACACTCGTGCTCAAGAATAGCCAGGATGGAAAAAGCGGAAATCCGCACTTCAGCAACACGAAGGCAGCTTGTCCCACCTATAAGGTCCTTGAGAGCAAGACCCACCTATGAGCTCTCTGAGCGCCTGTGTGAGTCTCATGGTGTCCATCTCCAACACCACAGGCACGTTCACATCCACCATGCCCACCACTGCCATGGCTCGGGGAGGAAAGGGTGTTGGAAAAACAATCCAGTGAATGCTTGGAGCTGCTGCTCTTGATTCAGGCTTGAAATATCGCCAGGTGCGAAACTCAAAGCCAATGAACAGTCATGACCTTGTCATCAGCCAAAACTCATCGGAGCATCTAGACCCACGTGAAGTTCACAATACGAACGTTGAAAAAATGCCACGATGTAGGCGTGGTGAAAACGGAGAAGAAAAATAAACCAGATAACAAGATTGGCATTTGGGGCTATGGGGTTGACGCTCATGCAGAAGTAGCCAAGAACATGCTAACATCAGCATGGGGTGAGGAGTATTTCCCTGGGACGTGGGCGTGCGAGCCCGAAAAGAAGACAGTGAACAAGCGTCAATGATAAGGGGCTAGAAGTTGTACAGTTCGTCGACAGTTTGTGCAGGACGAGTATACATTCCCTTAGTCCATGCTTGCTAATTCAGTAATAACTTTTAAACGCCATGTTAAAAAAATCGGTCACATGTATACATTCTTACAGTTGATGCTTACCATATAATCGGTAGTTAAAATAGGTGCAGGTATTGAACCAAGTTTGATGCATACCATAGTTTTGAAACCATTTGGTACATGCCATAAACTAGTTACTTCAGCTAGGGTGATACGTATACTGGTTCTTTTTACATCTATTTCGTGCCATGGATTTGCAAGTTGGGTCAGACCCAATACTAACCATACATGGTACTTACCACAGGCTTGGTACTTAATCCAGGTTTGGTAGTTAACAACCTTGGTTTGGCACTTATCTTAGACTCAAAACTAGTCCGTACTTACTGTAACATCAGTGAACACCATATCAGGCCACACACTATGTGTCCCTCTGAAGTGTTGGTTATCCAGGCAATGATTCAACTCTAAAAATATTTTGCCACCAATATCTGTGGACGGTTGATTCCCCTGCTCTACCATTCCCCTGCTCTACCATTCAAGGTGCAAAAGTACGGCATCCGTATTAAATGGTCCGTTTTAAACGGCCGCTTTTTACGGTGGGCTTTGGTTAAACGAGGTTTTTTTGTTAGACCTTTTTTCATGATTTTTTTTTTTTTTTTTTTAACACGCGTAAACAAGTGGCCTGATCGCTAAGGTAGCATGCATCGTTCAACGAGAGAATCAATGGCTTTGAAGCAGGTATGTGATGTCCATGCCCCTAATCTGTCGCTTCTAGGGCTCGTTCTGCTCCTACTCCACCACCACCCCCGTCCTCCTCCTCCTAAGCGTCATCCCCCTAGTCCTCCCCCCCCTAGTCCTCCCCCCCTTTTCCTTCCCCCCTAGTCCCCCCCCCCTTAGTCCTCCCCCCCCCTAGTCCTCCCTAGGCTTGAGCAACGGGTCGGGTCGGGTCGGGTAACCCGACCCGAACCCGACTTTTTGACGGGTCGGGTCAGGTTTCCCGTCGGAAGAACCCGACCCGTCGGGTTTGATTTTTACCCGTCGGGTCGGGTCAACCCGAACCCGACATGGACGGGTTCGGGTGAACCCGACATGTCGGGTTGACCCGACCCGACTTCGGGTATACATCGTCGGGTTGACCCGACCCAACCCGACCCGAAGTCGGGCCGCGCCTCGACCCGACGCAATCTGGGCGACCTGAGTTGCGCAGATCTGGAAAGTCTGACGGTTTGGTCGAATTTTCGACCAGATGGTCCATTTTCCAGATCCTACTTAGGCTTCCTCCCATTTTTACCCTCCATCCAGCTCATTCCTAACACTAATCTACTCCCCACCATGCTTATTGGTATAGCTTAGGGTCTAAACAGACCCAGATCGATTTCTATTGGATCGACTCAACCAACAAAGCTCGTCGACACCACCACCAACCCAACCAATTTTCGCCAACACCCCCAATCCAACCAATTATCGCCCAACGCCCAACCAAACCAACTTTTCGCCAACACCCCCAACCCAACCAATTTTCGCCCAACGCCCAACCAAACCAACTTTTCGCCAACACCCCCAACCCAACCAATTTTCGCCAACACCCCCAAACCAAACAATTTTCGCCAACAAGCCCAAACCACCCGAATTTTCGCCAACACCCGCAACCAAACCAAAAGCTCGCCAACACCCCCAAGCCAACCAATCTTTCGCCACGCCCCCAAACCAACGAAAAAATCGTCAACACCCATTCATTCCGTCACTGGTTTTCGTCAACATCCTCCAACCTAACCAATACTTCGCCAGCGCCCAAAACCACTTGTCGAGGTTGCGGGGGGATGAGGTGGGTGGGCTAGGAGACACGAGGAGGACTACTGGATCTTGAAATTACGAAATCCAGCTGTTCCCCCCTGGGAAAAAAATAGCTTCTAGTTAGGTCGGGTCAAGTCGGGTCGGGTCGGGTCGCATCAACCCGACCCGACTGCGGGTAGGAGATGACCCGACCAGCTATGGTCGGGTCGGGTCGGCAAAATCCTAAGATCGACCCGACCTGACCCGACCCGACCCGACCCGAACCCGACCTCGGGTTAGGCAAAGTCGGGTCGGGTCGGGTCGGGTCGGGTTAATGCTCAAGCCTAGTCCTCCCCCCCCTAGTCCTCCCCTGTCCATGCCTCGTCCTCGTCTTACTCCTCCTCTCCTCCTCCCTATCCTCCTACTGACGAAAACGATGTACACCGTATTATACGCTGGTACGAAAAAAACGACCGTATAAAACGGCCATTTTTTTGCACCAACCGCAAAATGCAACTTTAGACCGTTTTAATCGTATTATACGACCGTTTTATACGATCCCGTTTTAAACGGCCACAAAAGGTAAAAAACGCCGTTTTCTTGCACCTTGCTACCATACCATTCCCCTGCTCTACCATCTGCGTACCATTCAAGGTGCAAAAAAACGGCATCCGTATTAAACGGTCCGTTTTAAACGACCGTTTTTTACCGTGGGTTTTGGTAAAAAACGACGTTTTTTTGTTAGACCTTTTTTCATGATTTTTTTTTTTTTATGTATAAAAAGCACACGCAAACAAGTGGCCTGATTGCTAAGGCGGCTTGCATCGTTCTACGGGGTAATTAGCGGCTTTGAAACAGGCATGTGATGTCCATGCCCCTAGTCCGTCGCCTTCTAGGTCTCATTCTGCTCCTACTCCACCATCCCCCCCGTCCTCCTCCTCCTAAGCGTCATCCATCTAGTCCTCCCCCCCCTAGTCCTCCCCCCCCTAGTCCTCCCCCCCTAAGCGTTATTAGCTCGGCCAAAAACAATGTACACCGTATCATACGGTGGTACGAAAACAACAGTCGTAAAAAACGACCGTTTTTTTGCACCAAACGCAAAATGCAACTTTCGACCGTTTTGATCGTATTATACGACCGTTTTATACGATCCCGTTTTAAACGGTAAAAAAAGGTTAAAAACGCAGTTATTTTGCACCCCTATGGTCCATTGAGTTCAACACTTCTCTCAACCATGCGCTAACCCACGAAAACACTCACGTTGTACCCCTTTTTGGTGAGCAGCCTGACAGTTGTCGACAACAACGCTCTCCAACCAAGCACGAGGCTCGAATGGCACGCAGCTGAGGCCCATCTTCCTGGCCTCGAGCTTGGAGAGGTCGAGCACGCGGTTGACGAGGCGCACGGTGTCGTGCGCTGATGCGCGCGCCGCACTCACGTCCTCCACCTGGGAGGCGGAGAGCCCCATGTCGGCCAGGGCGTCCAGCAGCCCCATGATGCCCACCATGGGCGTGCGCAGCTCGTGCGACATCGACGCCACAAACGAGCTCTTGGACTGCTCTGCTTTTCGTGCTTCAGCTCGTAGCATATCCGCCACTACTAAACCCTCCTCGCTTGCCAGGTACCCCATGCGCTGCTGCCATGCTACGCCAGCTATGAGGGTGGATACCGCCAGCGATAGGAACACCCAGAGGAATACGCCCCAGGAGAGCCACCCATTGGACGGTTGATTGTATCTGGTCGAAAGGACACAGAGGGAGAACGGGAAACGATAGGCAAAACCGTTGAGATTTTTGCTTGCCGTTGTTTAGGAATGGAGCCAATGTTAGCATCAAGCATCACCAGAGACTTGAAGCACAAGGAAGCCAGGCCCAGCCCTAGAGTGAGCCACCACAATCATCGTGACACGACCCAAGGTTTGTTTTAGAAAAGAAATCCCCGTGTGACCGTACCCTACTCACCGGCACCAAACCTCGTACTTGCGCAAGCGACCGCCGAGCAATTCCAGTTGCACAACTGCCCGCTCCTCCCAAGGGCGTGTGACGTTAGAGGGCGAGGCGGCGGTCACGGGCATGAGGTCCCTCTCTCTGTAACGGATGAGCCTTGGGCCCGGGCCGTATATCATAGTCAGGGCGTTGGGGTCCGTGATGTCATAGACCTCAAATGTGATCAACGGGTCTGTGGAGAGACGTGGAGGAGAGTTCAAGCAAAAAAGGAGGGAAGTAGAAGGAAAGAATTAAGTAAGGAAAGGGGACAAGCGGAACTTAGCTGGGTGGTATGTGGTCCAGGTCCAGGGTTCCGAATTCCAAGAGAGGCAAGTGCAGTACCTTGGCAGAACACCAGCTCAAGCAGGTTGCTGCTCCAGCATGGACAACAGATCGTCAACCTGGTGCGCCTACTTGCCTTTCTCACCCAGCCCTTTCTCACCCGGGCCGGCCCTTTCTCACCCGGCCCTTTCTCACCCGGCCCTTTCTCACCTGGCCGTTCTCACCTGGGGTGAACACCTTCTCGAGCACGTTCCTTGCGATGGACACCAGATCCACAACGGACCCTGCTGCTCCAATCACAGCTTCTGTGACTTGTGCCTCAGTGGGGTTCGGCAGCAGCGGATGCTGCAAGATGGGGAAGCCAACGGCTGGCATGGGGAGAGCAAAATGCGTTGGGGGGCGACCAAGAACTTAGGAGAAAGCTCTACTTGTGCCGGCCCCACACACTGCGGCGGCGGGTGCCAGGTGGTGCTTCATGGGGCGTGGAAACAGAGTCACAATCAGGCCACGAGCTGATAAGCCACAATCCATCCTCAAGAAGATAAGTTAGAGCTGATGTTGCCACCTGGCCCACCACTTGAGGGCCAACCAGCCTCGTGGGAGCCATGGAGCCAATGAAACAGGCCCATTGCTGAACGGCCCGGACCGGATAGAGCAGCTGAGAACTGAGTTATCCTGAAGAATCTGTTTTGGTCCACTTGAAGACAAGCGGTTGAATGGAACCCACGGGCATCGTTGCAACTCACAGACACCAGTGAGGTTGAGGGAGAGATTCGCAATGGGCGTGGCAAAGCTGAACATGGGCTCGCCGGTGCTCCTCAGAAAGGTCAGCTCCTCCGGAAGTCGTTGCATGAGGTCGACCATGAGCCCCGAGCCCCGGTAGTAGTGGATCTCAAACACGCCCGGGCAGTACAGCGGCTGGCGCTGCTGCGGCTCCCCAGTCAACCCGAGGATGGGCCCCCCGTACTGACGTTCAAAGGCCGGCCTGTGAAGGGAGAAGATGGCCAAGGAATCTGGTATTTAGTTGACAAATCCGGGATGGGCCCGCCTTACTGGCACTCAAAGGCGGGCCAGTGAAGGGAGAGGAGTGGGATGTGACGTGGAGCATGGGGAAGGTGTTGTGGGAGGAGCGGGAAACGGCAGGGATGGAAGGGAGAGCCGCACGTGGTTCATGCGCTGAGCGCGTGAAGCAGCCTTCCCATGCTGTTTTATTCAGGGGATGCAAGAACCACGAGCTTTTCTCCCTTGGGCATGAGCAACTGGAAAGGTAGAATGTAGCATGTGCATGCGCAGTTGGAAGCACACAACGTAAGGTCACGAGATGCCGCACTCAGACATACAGTGGGAGGAGAGAGAGAGAGAGGGGGGGGGGAGGAAAAGTGCGGAAGGAAGGGGTTGGGGGGTGGGGGGGATAGCTAGTACGAAGATTCACAATGTGAGCACAATGCACATATCACACCTGGTGTTTGTGAGCACGTGAGAACCAACTAGCCACCCACCCACCCACTCACTCAACTCGCCCGCACGCCCATCACCCGCACGCCCCTCACCCGCTCGCCAGCTCGCCGGTGCACCTTTCTTGGTCGGTGACAAAGACGCATATAGTACCGCCTGTGTTCCCCGGCCGCGCATACCCCGTGCGGTTCAGATACGCGTCCCACTGCTGCTCCGTCAGGCACCTGTCCCACGCCCAGCTGCCGTGGCCCCTGGGCCTGCCCATCACGGACGCCAGCCCGGCAAGAGTCTGCAGCAACATCCCAAATAGTTGATGTCATGGGGGGAAAGACGGGGGGGAAAGGGGAGGGAAGGGCGTTGGGGAAGGGGAGGGAGTCGGGGGGGGGAAGGTGGAGGGGGGGGGAAGGGGGAGGGAAGGGGGAGGGGGGGTTGTGGTGTGGGGGGTGTTCAGGAACGATGATCAGTGGTCAGCGCGAGCATCCGCGCCGTGCCACCCCATCATTCCGCCACACATGTGTCAGCACATGCGTTCTAGACCAACCCTGTTCTGGCTGACGGTGGTGAGCGCTCGTGAGTTCGTGTGTGCGTGCGTGCGTTCGTCCGTGCGGGGAGGGCCCGACCCCTCACATCATGTGAAGCGCACTCATCCGGATCTGGCTGACGGTGGTGCGCGCAGCGTGCGCCCCTGCTCAGGGAATCCGGGCCAGTACATAGTACAGACTTACCCGGATCTGGCTGACAGTGGTGAGCGCGTGCTGCTCGAACAGTAAAGAGAGGTCGAGGGGAAGTAGGATCTTAACCCAGCCTGATCTGGCTGGGGGTGGTGAACGCGTGTTGTTCGACCAGTAAGGAAAGGCCTAGAGGAACCAGAATCAAGACTCACCTGATCTGGCTGACGGAGGTGAACGCAACGTGAGTGTGTTGTCAGGGAATCCGACCCAGTACACGGTACAGACTCACCCGGCTGATGGTGGTGAGCGCGGCGTGCATCCGCGCCTGGAACACAGTGATCTCAGACTCACTCTGATCTGGCAGACAGTGGTGTGGTGCGGCGTGCGACCACTCTGGGGGGATCCAACGCATTGCACGGTATAGTACTCACCCTGATCTGGCTGACGGCGGTGAGCGCGTGCTGCTCGAACAGCTTGGCGCGCTCGTAGCACCACGTGTCGAGGTGCTGACGGCGGTCGGTTTGGTACGAGGAGTGCCGCGAGTAGCACAGCCACGCCGCGATCGACACACCCGAGAGCAGCCATAGGGCGAGCAGCACGCCGAAGATGGGGCCTGGTTGGTGATGGGGTGATTCTAGACGATTAGATATTCAAACAGCCTCACGGCGGTCCACACACCTGAGAGCAGCCATAGGGAGAGCAGCACGCCGAAGATGGGGCCTGCAGTGGGGCGGGGGTACTTAAACTGGGCGGCATAAGAAGCATGGTACGCTACCCTACGGGGGGGGAACGGAGAAAATTAGATAGGGCCCGATGTGGGGTGGGGCGAGATCGAGACGATCTGAACCGTCCAGGGTACTCTGAACCTTCCAGGGTCCTCTGAACCTTCCAGGGTACTCTGAACCTTCCAGGGTCCTCTGCAATGCGTCGAGTCGCGAGTCGCGACTCCAAGAGCCTCTTGGAGTCCCTTAGCTTCTGGGGTTGAGGGCATACTGCATTCCTGCGCACTCTCGGAGGCTCGAAGGCTCGGAAATTCCGAATGGACGTATTGTGATACTAGGAGTACTGCACAGATTCCACTGAGAGCCGCCGAGCCGCCGAGCCTAGAGCCGGATGTTATGATATGATATGATATGATATGATCGGCCTTGACACTGTCCACAGTGGACACAGTGAAGATTCCGCCGAGTCCACAGTTAGTCTGGATGTGGGGCTTAAAGGTCCTTCGTATACCGGAAATACTCTCTTCGATCGACTTTATGCGGGGCCATTCTATCAGAGCACATGTTTCGCATTCTACATGTTCGAATGTAATGAGGTCAGGCTGACCTGGCTTTACCTCGAAACACTACGAGATTCCGAATCGCGCTCTTGCCGCTCGAAAGCGGCAATGACTCCGAGTCGATATCACGAAAGCGGAGCTGGTTCCGAGCCGCAGGGATTGAGCGACGCGGCGACATCATCCGAGTCATCGACATTCGTTACCTCTACTCGAGCGGTTTACCATAGAGCGAGACGGAAGGTCCGCAGAGAGGAACGTTCAGCCACAGACGGGCAGCAGCAGCTTGTGGGAACTCGGGACGGGGCTCGAAGCTCGTTTGTGAGGACGGAAAGGAAAATCCTTCAACTGAATCTCACTCACCAGCGCGCCTGCTGAGGTCAGGCTGTTGCTAAAATGAATGAGGTCTGTTCCCAGGCAGGGGAGCCCTGCTGTTCAAGTCCTCCATCGTCTCACTCAGTCTCCCAGCAGCCATGGAATGAGCATGACAACAATGCGAGACAATGGATGTGGAATATCCATCACAAACCCACCCCTACCTGCCTGATACACCTGATGCCTTTTTGAGTTTCAGTTTTATTTAGGGCGGGTGCTCTTGTGTCTGACACAAACAACTATCCTCACAGCTGGGCCTGTACATTTGACCAGGGTTACCGCCTCGGTAGCAATGCCGTAAAAAAGGGTGGTCTACGATGTTGTTTGTGTGAATATCAGTAACAGCATGCACTGCAGCAGCAAATTCCACGCGTCATTTCTTTGACCACTGTAAGGAATTTTATTCCTTACCGAGTTGTACTGCAATCGCGTACACCCGAACTCTCGGAAGACCAGGCTCGATCCGACTCTGACGCAACCCCGAGGCTAGCACGCGCCGCCTCCGGCCCTTTCGACCGCGCCTGTACCCAACCTAGCACTCCAGGCTCGTCGCCTAGCTAGAGTTCTCGCTATATAATGTTAGGCTCCAATTCTTGTACTCGTCATTATTATTACACGCACTCTCAGTTATTAATTTATAACATCTGGTATCAGAGCTACTTTCCTTGGTTCACCCCGCTTTCTCATGGCAGTTTATTCCGAAGGCGTGGTTAACCCTGTGGGGCTGCAAAGCGGTTGTCCGCGAGCTAGAGTTATTAGCTCACACAACTACGATAGCGTTTGCGCCCCCTGCGGTTCCTTACCACGGCCTTCCCCCTCCCCGAAAGGCGTAGCATTCGCATCATGACTCAGGCCCAGCTAGACGAGGTCATGGCTGAGATGCAGGCAATGCAAGCCCAAATGGCGAGTTTGAACAGCGAAGTCGTGAGACTTCGGACGGAGAACACCGAGCTTCGCCAGACGCGTGGTGAAGCGCGTCAGGAGTCGCCTAGATTCGCAAAGAATGTCGTCAAGCAAGAAGACAATGATGCTCCGAGCGAAACCGTCCTTGACGAGCTCGCACGGGAGTTGGAGCAAAAAGACGTGCGCACTGTGACTGTGACGAAGATCAAGCTCAAGCCGGCCATGCCGTCCCCATTCAACCCTTCGGACAGAGTGACGACAGTACAAGGGTGGCTGTTCAGCATGGAGTTATTCTTCACGGCTGCAAGTGTTCATACAGAAGACGCGAGCATTAATTACGCGGTGTCGCTACTCCGAGGACGGCGTTGGATTGGTGGCGACGGCAATTGGCGATTGGGACTCCGGCAGGCATGAAGCAGGCGAAGGACGGGACTTCGGATTCTTCTAACCAACAGGCAAAGATGATATTCGGTACGACCATGATTCGCATGTGGAAACAATGGGGCACAGCTCTGCAAGCTCGTTTTGAGCACTCATCCGCCTCAGACGACGCTCGCATGAAGCTGCACAACTGGCGGCAGGTGACTACTATTCAACATTACACTGCATCGTTCTCGGCACTAGCGGACCAAGTGGACGACCTCATCGAAGCAGAAAGGCGAGACAAATATATCAGCGGGCTGCATTTCGACATTTAGTACGAGTTGCAGCGGTCCCGGCCCAAAACGTTCGATGAAGCTGTCCAGCTGGCGTCAGCCGCCGATGCACTGCAGCAGTGGGCGAAGAAGAACAACAGGGATGTTGGTCGTTTTCGCGGACAGTCTCCCCGCCTCACGATCAATGGCGTATCAACACCCGATGAAGTATTTCACGGGCTATGTTATAGATGTGACAAGCCAGGTCACCGAGCTAAGTACTGCCCGACGGCGCCCAAGAAGACGAAGAACGACAAGGAGAAGTCAGTAGCAGACAGGCCCCCTACTGACGAGGCTTTGTCGCCCGAACTTCAGCGTTCCCACCAAGTTGTGGTGCCGATACATGCTATCGACCGCACTCTGATGAATATCAGCCTGAAAATCACCCTGTCCTGGTCGAAGGCAAAGTGAATAATAAAAAATAAATTTATTTGTGGATGGCGGGGCTAGTCACAGCCTCAACAACGGGACAACGGCGAAGCAGTTCAAGCTGACGTTGGAGAGGTGCCTGCCCGAAATCGACATGCGACTGGTGGATGGAACTCCACTTGTGATTCGGGAGCGAGCGCGCATAGTGCAGATGAAGTGTGAAGACGATTTTGGATTCAGCATACCCATGGTGGCGACGACGCTGGACGGCTGCGACATCCTTCTCGGACACGATTGGCTGCGAAAATATAACCCGAGGATCGACTGGACAACTGGTGAATGCAGCGTGAACTGTGCGAACGGGTGGCGCGTACTTCCGTGCTGGCTCGGGCGAGACCCGGTGTCGACACGTGTCAACGCCATCACCCTACAACGCGCAGTGAAGCGAGGAGCTGATTTGTACGCCGTCCATCTCCATGAAGCGATGGTCGACAAAAAGCCGAAAGATATTGACACTCTTTGTGCCAGTGTCCCTGCTAAGGTCGACGCGCTGATTTGACGGTATCCGGATATTTTTCCGGATGACCTGCCAGTCGGACTGCCACCCGAGCGCCCACAAGACCACAAAATTGACCTAGAACCTAGCGCGCAGCCAACCGTCAAGACACAGTGGTAGCTGACTCAGCCCGAACTCACAGAGTTGCGGAGCCAGCTCGACTACCTACTTGAGAAAGGGTTCATTCGGCAAAGTACGTCCCCGTTCGCGGCGCCCATCCTGTTCACGCCAAAAAACAATTGGCGGGCTGCGAATGTGCATCGATTACCGGGCGCTGAATCGGCAAACAATCAAGTCTCGCTACCCAATCCCACAAGCAGACGATCTACTGGATCAACTTCGCGGGAATCGCTTCTTCTCGAAGATTGACCTGCGAAGCGGTTACCATCAAATCCAGGTCTTCGCTGACGACTGCCACAAGACGGCGTTCCGCGCCCGATATGGCAGCTACGAGTATACTGTGATGCCTTTTGGCCTCACAAACGTGCCATCTACATTCCAATTGACTATGAATGACTGATTCAAGAAGTACATGATTCCAATCTCTCCGGTCATTTCGGGGTTGAGAAAACCCATAAATTACTTCACCAATTTTATTATTGGCCCGATTCGTCTGACATGCAGAGGTACGTATCGGCGTGCCCGACCTGCCAGCGCATGAAGTCCTCTCGACAGCGGCCAGCCGGACTGCTGCACCCGCTCGAGCCACCCAAGAAGCCGAGGCAACACGTGACGATGGATTTCGTCACGGGACTTCCGGCCGGCGCCAGTGGCAACGATGCCGTCCTCGTCGTCGTTGATCGCCTGACGAAGATGGCGCATTTTGCACCCTGTCGCACGACAATCATGGCCGAAGAAATTGCTAAGCTCCTCATCTCTACCGTTGTTCGCTTGCACGGTCTCCCATCGGTGATCATCAGCGACCGCGGCCCCAAATTCACGTTCAAATTATGGCAAGAGACTTGGGAACAGTACGGCACACGACTGCAATTTTCGTCCACCTACCATCCGCAAACCGGTGGTAAAAAAGAGCGCACCAATCAGACCATGGAGCAGCTAATACGCACCAACTGCCCCGAACCTGCCTGGTGGGAAGAATTCCCACCCATGATGGAATTTTCCTACAACAACGCCCCATCCGCAACAACTAATCACTCGCCCTTCTTCCTCAATTACGGGATGGATCCCACGGTACCAACAACCACCAACATCGACAACCCTGTGTGCCGTTCCCAGCAGTTTGTTAGCGACCTACAGGCTGCCCGGGAGAAAGCGATTGAGTTTATTCGCAAATCCAACACTACAGCCCGACACTACACTGACCTTCATCGCCGCAATATTACGATGGCCGCGAGGCAACTAGTCCTTCTCGACACGAAGAACCTCCGCCTGCCCCTGCCATCCAAACTTCGCCCAAGATACTATGGGCCGTTCCGCATCATCAAAATGGTGGCACCTGTCACTGCGAAATTATTACTTCCGGACGATTGGCGAATCCACGACGCATTCCACGTCAGCCTCCTTCGTCCCTACGTTGCCAGCACGACCGCAGTCGCTCGTCCAGCGGCTGTCCCCAGTGTCCGCCAGATGGCCAAACCGACACTCGAGCCTTTTCCGGCCTTTGAGTCATCGCGTCCGCCTCGACACCACCGGCCGCCACGTGGACTTTCTTGTCCGCTGGACCGACCGCACCAGCGAAGACGACACATGGGTCCCTTCTGACTCGCTTCAGGAAACCTTGGTGCTCAAAGCTTATTTGACCCGAAAAGGCGTTCCCGATATTGACCACCTTCCTTAAGATGGGGGTAGTGTAAGGAATTTTATTCCTTACCGAGTTGTACTACGATCGCATACACCCGAACTCTCGGAAGACCAGGCTTGGTCCAACTCTGACGCAACCCTGAGGCTAGCTCACGCCGCCTCCGGCCCTTTCGACCGCGCCTGTACCCAACCTAGCCCTCCGGGCTCGTCGCCTAGCTAGAGTTCTCGCTATATAATGTTAGGCTCCCATTCTTGTACTCGTCAGTATTATTCCGCACAGTCTCAGTTATAAATTCATAACAACCACTGTGCACGTTTCTCGGAGGAGCAATCTTCACATGAGATTGCGCCTGATTCCGAGGCCTGTACACCTCGGGCCGTTGCCTGTAGAACCTGTTTAGTGGGACTAGAAATAGCCCAAGGGCTTTGTATAGATGGGCAGTTTGTGGAGCATCTTGTGTACCGTACAGCATTGGGAAAACTGCCCCGTTTTTCGAATCGAGCCCCGTTTGTGGTTTCACTTCACTCACAAAAATCCTCTAACGGCCGAGCAGCACACGAGTGGCACCTGATTCACACGAAGGCCTGTCATCGAGATGTGAGTGCGGTGTGGCACGTCTTTTCTACGTGCATTGGGCGGCTTGTGCCGTACATGTCATTCGCCACCTCTGGTCTGGCCTGATTGCCCGATTGCGGCAACCCAACCCAGCCCAACCAACAATGCTGCAACGACAGCTGTGCTGTCCTTCGAAACATACAGTTGGGTCAGAGTCAAGGTTGTTGGCCGCCATTACAATTCGGGTCCATGGGAGC